TTATTCAATAAAAAACGTGACGATCTTAAGGAAGACACAAAATTGGTCTTAATACGTTTCCGGTGGGAATCTGCTTATGAATCTGATGGACTTTTTTATTGGAAATTTTGTTTAGAATCATCTCTCAGAGTTTGGTCATTAAGAATTGAGGCACCCTGTATATCTAGCTTCCATACAATTGGCTAGAGGCCATCAATACATACACCTCTTCACATTGCCAATTATTTTTTTCCTGATCTACTCATATATTTTGATTGTTTCATTACAAAGTTAAATGTACAATTTAAATAGATTCCTATTAATATTAAGAAAAGTATTTAAAGGAGCGACCAAGCAAAGTGATAAAGGTACAAAACTTCACAAAAAAGTAAAAATACCCAGTTGAGGATTTCTTGACTAAAAGACATATCAAATTTTACGAAGCAGTGAAATACGTAACCAATCCCTTATTTAATGAACTTAAAACTTCTGAACCTTTCCAACGTTGTCGAAATTTGTTTGAAAATTAAATTTTTGCTTTAATTTTAGTTTTCAAAAAAAAGAGTGAGCATAATCTCCTAATTATTATACAGAAATCAAGGACATAAACAGCAATTATAATTAATACATAGACCTCCTTAAAATGCAAACCTGCGGAACAAGGAGAACTCCATGTCCTTGAACCATATAACAAAAATATATAAGATTGTAAAAGAAAAATCTATTCTGATCATTCTAGAAAATATAAATAAATATTCTTTTTATTGTATTTTAGTATACTTTGAAATATTATATATGTTGAGGAACTAAGGCCACCCTGATAGTACTTTGTATCCTTGACATTCTTTTTTGGTTTAGATCGGAAATCCTCGCTTAGCTCATGTCTTCCCACACTTCCATTAGTTTCATTAGTTCTCTGTAGTCGTGCATCTGGCCTCTGAGATGTCCTTTATTCCACAGGCGGATCTATGGAAGGAGGGGAGTGGCTTTCGGGCTGAAGCCCCCTCTCTCCAAAATGGTAAAATATAACCATGTTTTGTGGAAAAAAAATATTACAGAATTATCTCTTAAGGTATTATTATTCGTGTAATTACATTTAATAGGACTTCAAGAATCTTTTAAACGCTATTTCATTTAGGTAGTTAGTTTCTTTTCTTTTCTTTTTTTTCAAAATTATCGTTATATATCTGAAAAAAAAAACTTTGGCCCCCAAAATTAAATTCTGGATCCGCTAGTGCTTTATTATATATCATTTTTGTTTTTATTTTTATCTTAAATATTTCGTTTTCTTATATACTTTATTGTATTAAAATCGTTATCATTATTTAAGAAACTCGTAATTCTATTCTTACCCAGTAAAAAACTAAGGTTTGTGCTTTAAGCCACACGTTAGAAGTGAAAACATCGACAAGGCGAGATTAATAATATGAAATATAAATTATAAATAATAACCCTATACAGAGAGGATGGAATATTAAACAATTTCCTCGCTTACAGAATTCAGGTCCGATTTTTAGTTTCTGAGATATTTTAATCTATATCTTTAATAAAACTTATCATTTTGTTTTCGTCGCTATTTTTTTCCCTTTTCGTCTCTCTAATACGGCGTCGCGTTACGATAAAATCTTTAATAATAGCTCTTTACAAGGAGAATGGAATGATGAACATTTCTTTTCATTATCAATATGCAGGTCAGATTTTTAATTTTTGAATTATTTTAATCTATATGCAAAAACACTTCTCTAGCCGACTTCACCCGAGCGTTACACATCTGAAATCTGATGGCTCTACCGACTCTCCACAAAAAAGTGTAAAATCTGCCTAAAAAAGTTTTCACTTTGAAAAATAAATACGATTTATCACTTAATCTACTTCATCCTTGATGAGCGAACCATGTCATTTCACTACACAGAAAAATGAGATAAGAACTCAAACACTTACATACCAAAATTAATCAAGATAATTTCTTACCCATAATGTCATGACATTGCTGGTTCTGAATAATTTTGTAGCTATTACTACACCAACCGAACAAAATTAAACATCTTCTTTCAGGATCTGTTCAGTGAAGTCAAATTTGTATATCGATGTTCATAAGAGGCATCGAATTTTGTAACTATCAACTCCATTCTTAAATTTTTATTTATATTTTGGGAGAAAGATCTCCATAAAGTGATATTATGTCTTTCTAAAATAGTTAAATCATATGTAATTAAATTGTTTTTTCCTATCAGCTACTCAACAGTTAATTAAATAAGAAAAATGGAATTGGTTGATTTTGGAATGGTGAAATAATCCGAAATTTGAATTAGGAATTTCTAAAATCCATAACAATAAATAAATACGTTGCAAATTTAAAGCTTTCTTACTTTTTATTCGGATTTTTCATCGGTTCTTTGTTATAATGCCGCTCAATCATAGAAAATAAAACTAACCCAAAAGCTTACTCCGCCAGAAAATATTGAAAATAAGATTTATTTGTTTACTACGTAAATTATCTGTATACACAGAAAATAGATGCTGCAAAATATCAGTACTAGGCGAATAAATTGAATCATTTATTTCAGAAACGACACGTGTGTCATTTTTATCGGTTTTGATTTATAATGGTTTTGTATGCATTGATCTAAGCTACATCTTTTAGTGAAAACAAAAAAATAGTTCATAATACATTCATCGAAAAATCAATTCAAAACATTTCTAACAAAAAAATTGTTAATCTCTGAAACTTAGATATAACTTCAAAGATACGTGGAATACAAAAGCCAATAAAAAATCTAGTTTCTGCATTAACCATTTAAACTAAAGATAATGATGTAATTCATATTATTACTAGAATTACTTTAACTTGTATATTAATAAAAAGCCCAACCTTAAGTTAATTTTTATTAAAAACAATTTTTTTTACTATTCAATTTTTTATTTCAATAAAAAAGATTTATTAAATACAACTTTCAATATTCTATGAAAAGGAAAGACAAAAACTTTTACTTTGATATATGTGTCTAAATGTCCATTTTCCACAAGCCTAAACTGAATACTGAGAAAAAAATGTCAAACATTTTAAAATTGATAAAATATATCATATCATAATGTGAAAATATTTTATCACAAAATTATTTTATAAAACACTAAGAAAACTATTACAACAGTGAAATTATAATTTTTAAATTGAGTTATACCTACTTTCCATTAAATTTTATAATATATATATTTTTTTAATTTATGGTGATGGAAAAATATATTCCATTTTTGGAGATGACGTTTTCAACAGAATCTTCAAAATTTTAAAAAATATATATAAAGGAAAACTGGTTACATAGTTACATATCTCAGACCATTTTAAATAATTTTTTTTATATAGCTAGTTTGTTTCAAATTCTCAAATATCTCCATAAGTAGGTATTATAATTACATGTTATTAATTATATATGTTTGGGATGATGTCACAACACACCTTGGAAAAACCTAATTGTAACATTAAATGGATGATTCACTAAACCACATCCTGTAATTAATTAAGCTAACTGAGAGTAATTGTGTTAGTTAATTACAAGCATAGGCGTCTATTGCTGCTAATTACATCTCCACAAATAACACAGTAATAAAGTAGATTTTTTTTTTTTTTTACAATAGGTGTGTCCAAGAAATGAATGTCCAAAGCAAGAACTAAATCTTATGTAACGATTCGCACAATCGTTCAAGAACTAAGTATGCACTATTTGGTCTCTGCAAATAAATCGCAAATAATATTGGTCAGTGAACAAAGGACAAAATAATAAGAAAAGAAATAATTCAACATATTATAATGTGAAGGAATCATTTCCCAATATTCCTGTAATTGTAATCGACCAAGGAAAAAAAAAGATAAACCTTCTTTCAAGTTTTGAACCAAAATGTTTACGAATTACAATAGCCTGTATCTCTCAGCTAATAATGTTCCGATTTTGATGATTTTATTATTTTTTTTTTTTTTGGTTTGTATGGAATTTAGTAATCTTTCAAATAATCATTGTGCGATCACTTCAATAAACTTTTTGAATTATTCACAAATAAAATTTATTTTTGATGTAGAGATGGTTGACCGCGATAGAATATGAGGAGTTGGGCGGGGTGTGTGGTCAAATAAATACTAAATTTTAAAAATAGTATTTTTCATTAAAAATAAAAATACTAATTAATACAAAATTTATAAAGATTTATAAAAAAATTAATTAAAAATATTTATAAATATAAAAATTTTAATTAAAAATACTATTTTTAAAATTTATTATTTCTTTGGCTGCACCGCCGACCAACTCCTTTTCAAAGTTCACTTTTCTTCATAACAATTTTTGCTGAAATTTCGAGGAATGTGAATATTTTTCCCACCTGAATAGGAGATCTTCAAAATGAGGGTTCAATCTTTAGATTCAATAAAGAATTGACACAGATATGTATGGCGTAGCGAAAACACACACAAAAAAAAAAACACTTTTGAGAAAATAGATATAAATATAGTTTATCATTTTATATTACATTATTTCGAACGTTTTCTCATTCAGTATGTTTGTAATTCTATAATTATTTCGTTCTTTTTTTTTCATCTCCTTCACTCATATTGGTACTAGAACTAGTGAGGGAAACTATTCGGGCAGTTGCACACATATTCCTATTTGCCAACCCCTGATGGCTACCTTGATGTTGCCGCTATCTACTTGCCAGCAAGAGTGGGAATAAAATCAAGATCTATTTCCCGAGGCTCCCGAGGAATGAAAATTAACCGACCCTGTTGGAATCGAACCCACAACATTCAGAACCGGGCACTCTGTGACCCACGCCCCACTGTGCTTCGCACCATCCTCTCTACCTCACACAGTAACCCAGTACTAGGGGTGTATATTTGTTAATTTGCACATGCTCCATACATTAAAAATAATACATGTATCCATTTATAATTGCTATTAGATATTTAACGCTGTTCTATATAATGATTATTTTATTTATATACAGCATTATATTGTACCATTGTTTCCTTTCAGGACGGCGTATCCTGGACAACGTTAGCGGCCGCTTCCTGTCAGGAGAACTAACGGCCATACTAGGACCTTCAGGTGCAGGCAAGACAACATTGCTCAATGCCATATCAGGATACAGGTGCGTAACCTTATCCAAGCATATCCAATTATCACATCTCACTCTTGAAAATTCACTCCACTGTATAACACATTTAAAAGTAACGTATAGAGTATTAAAAACTGCAAGTGCGGTGAAGGTGAAGAGCATTTGGAACACATACTACAAACGTGCAGAGCCTACTCCCAGAGAAGGAGAGTGATCTGGCCCTCTCTAACTAAAGTGGAAAAGAAACTATATGGAAGCCTGGAGAACCTGAGGAGGTCTACCGAATCCTTCATGTTAGTTCCGATGAAGATAGGAAGAAGAAGTATTGAACTGGTTTTAATTTGATCGATCTAATACCATGTTTCTTTTTTGATATGTCATTGATTAAAAAAAAAAACATTTCTAGAAACATAAATATTGACATTTATTTTATAACTTATTTTATTTTTCTAACAAAATAAACAAGAAACTAGTGTTGCTTTGTTATCATTATAATGCAAGCACCAAAAGTTCATTAATGCCATAACAAACGACAAGATAAAATTAACTTTTTTATGCAAAAATTGCTGCAGTAAAAAATCCTTACACTTTCGTGGCGAATAGCACGGTTAAGGAAATCGCTAGCAAAGTATTGCGTTTGTAAGCGAATCCTCTTTGTTGGATTGGAGGAGTTCTATTACTTCCGATACACTGAATCTCAATTCTACATTTTCTTTCTACTACTTTAAAGTAATTTTATTTTTATTTTACAAAGTTTGGGAGATAGCGCTATCGTGTGTTCAAACGAAATTGCCAGTGTTACGAATCTCGCCGAGTAAATTAAAATTAATTTCTTTATTTTTTACTTAATTAATCTCACTATTCCCAAAATTGTTTAAAAAGTGGATTAATTATGATAACTTAATATGATAAGTCTTGCATTATCAATCTGCAAAACAAGTCTAATACGTTATTTCACATAAAAATAAACTTCTATAAGTTTACAGTTCCAGTTCTACAGATTGGGATAGTCTAGTGGAGGTGTGTGGCCGGGCGGGCTAATGAGTTCGCTCCCCGGTGCCGGGGGGGCTTATAACTCTGTCATTAATCCCCAGCCCTCACCTCCTGGCCCAGGAAAATCCCGTATAGCCTAAAAGGCGAAGAAGCGGAGGACAAAAAAAAACAAGAAAAAAAAACAAGATTCGGTGAATCTGCAAGCCAGTAAGTTCGAATCTGTCATTTTAAGAGTGATTAGAGGAACGCGAGAAGAATAAATTAAGAAAGGATGTATATTTAAGTTTCGGGAAGAAATAATTCCAGGAAACGTTGTCTTCGGAAAGCGAGAATGCTTAGCCCCTCGAATCGACTTTCTAACAGAAAATAAGAGGGTTTCTAATTATGATAAAATGAAAAAGTTGATGCGTCCTTTTAATCTCATCACATCATACATGAGAGTCACCATATATTAGGCATTCATAATCAAAGATATATGAGGGACGATACCTAGAAGCTGAGCACCATTACGAAGCATGGTACAATGGAATCTGAGCAATTTTCAGATTATTTGTGGAGTATATTACTCCTTATTATGAGGAGTCACTTTCACGACCTCTTTAAGAGTTCCATCTTGCACCGAATATTACATTATATACCATCTTTACAGGAGAGTTGGTATCAGCGGCGAGATGGCCGAGGGGATGCGGGAATCAGGCTGCTACATCGGCCAAATCGACCTTCTGGCAGAAATGGTCACTGCCGGTGAGCTGATGGAGTTCGCTACCACACTCAAGCTTCCGGACACAACACCGAAACAGAGGACTACGATAGTAAGTATTGCATATAACTACTTATCAATTCAGGATTACATCATGTTTTCTAATGATTTTCATAATTAATTTATTAATGATCAAATTAATTAAAATTGTACAAAATAACCCTTATGAGGAATGTAGCCAACCTTGCCCATATGACAAACAGCATTACAGGTAGAGGAAAATTTGGCCAAGCTGGGAATGGGGGAGTGCTACAACACGAGGACCGAGCGGCTGTCGGGCGGCCAGAGGAGGCGCCTGTCCATAGCCCTCGAGCTGGTCAACGATCCTCCTGTCCTCTTCTTGGATGAACCAACCAGGTGATTTTCTTATTATGGTTGTGCAAGAAATAATAATAAAATATTATGATCAGTTTAGAAGCAGTACTTCCCTAGACCATTTATTGGTTGTTGATTAATAGGTTTATTTATTATAAACACAATAGAGCATAATTACCACAACAAAGCCATAAACAATTGAAACCTTTGAATATCCTTTTTTGTGTGACTAGAAAACCTGTTTATTTATCAAACCTTTCTCGTATCTTTTCTCTAAATAGAGCTAATGGAAGGGAAGTAAGGCGACTTGTCAATTGCAATGTTCACACTGTGGAATGTTATACGTTTGTTAAACAACGTTATTATGTAAGAACTGCGAGGAAAATCAGTGGATTACAAGAAACCCATTACGGATATATACGTAAGTTAAGCGCGATAAGTTCTTAAACGGGTTTCCAATTGCTCCACCGTGAAAAGCCACGCAGCTCAACATCCTCTGGATGATTATCCTCTCGCATATTTCAAGTCGGTCGGCCCACGGGGAGGTGGGAAGGAGGGAGAGGGGTATTGCATATAGCGTCCGGTTCACCTCAGCAGTCTGACCCTCAGAGCATCAAATAGCGTGTTCTGTATTCTGCTTATGGGGCATAAGAGATCTGTCTTTTCAGTTTGGAAAGGAAATATCCATGCATGGTAAAATGTTGAGAGATCCGGGAGAACAATTTCGTTTCCAGGAGAGTCCGGAAAGTACCACATTTCCTTAAAGTAGTGCCTTTCGCGGTTTTCACACACCGCCGGTTCTACTATTCAGTAATATCGTTCTTGATTCGTTGGTCCTGTGCAATCCTTACCTGGATATTTTCCGGCACACCAGATGAACCTTTTGTTATACAGCTCTTCTTAAATATGTCTTCTCGTAGGATAAGATCAGGAGGTTCACCTTCCGCCTCTTTAAACACACTTCGGTACAACTTAGTGAAGCGCAAATGAGCTTTCCGTTGACGCGTTGCCAAGATGGGTTTCTGCTTATGTGAGAGGTTCTGGAAGATCGGAGGAGACGTTTATCACAAAATATCGACTGCCACCCCATTAAAAATGGCCATTGTTGCTAAAAAAAGCCCCAAAATTCTTCTCCTAGACGACTTAAGCCGTTCAAGACTAGGGCGGCGGTCTATAGGGCTTTTTCCTCTAGAGAGCTATAATTATGTACATGAAATGAGCGGTCACATTTTTTATTCATTTATTGTATTTATTTACTGCAATTCACAACTGCATTAAATTAAATACAACCAGTAAATGTGAATAGAACAGAAATAATGGTATGAACAATTTGTCAAAATACTACCCAATGGTAGTACACTTCCTAAATAGTTACAAGTAAGATGATCCTCTTTTCAGACGCCTATGAGTATTATTAATAACAGAGGAGGCATTATGGTTAGAAAAAAGTGGGTTCGGTTGGGTCTGGAGTTTATTATGATCAGGATCTGGATTGGATTAAATCTGCGAAGGGGGTCACATTAAATCCTCTTCCGAACCTTATGCCAAGTAAGATGGTTATCTCAATTGGACGAATTCTCGTACTTCAAAGTTAAGATATACATGGCGTGTCCTATTATCTAAAGTTCTCTCTTATCTAAAGGTTTGAATCTTTGCAGCGGTTATCTTCTATTTTTTGTCCCATAGCATTGCCAACCATGGTGAACCATTATACTTCTTCTTTTATTCCGGCTCTGGTGTTATACGCCATTCAGCCGTTACTCTTCGAGCAATCCCAGAATCTCATCAAACAGTACTAAGAAGTAATTAATTACACGGGTCTTTAATTACAGTTACAGGAGTCGTGTTAAATATTTGCAATCACTCCTTCATTAGATATTGAAGAAAATAATTGCTATTTCAATTACTTTTAATTCAAGTGTCATATAGGACTGTTATTGCAAAAGGTCTTGTATGTAACAATTTTCCATGTTCATTCTATTTGCGCTAAAGGCGACATTTTGCAATCCGCAACTGCAATAATTAGTCTGCTAGTACGGAAAATAGCAGAGGAAAATAAAATGTGAAATCATACCGATAACAACGAACAATAAAGAAGCAATCAGTCTTTCTGGTCTTCTTAAAAAAAAAAAAACTCAATTTTTACATACGACCTTTTGCACTAGCAGAAGCTGCTACTAGTCCTAACAGTAGTATGTTTAATTCCTATGATGGGAATTGTTTGTTTTTTTATCCATTTCCCCTGAGTATGTAATTAATTTTTTTGAGTATTATGTAGGCAAGTAGTTGAAGTCACTAAAGGTGGATTATTACAAAATTATATAATTCAAATTACATAAAATTATAGAATTAGATTATTAAGTAATATCCCGAAATTTCATTTTCCTAAAATATCAGTTTATATATTTAACATTAATTTATACTTCATAAATTAATATAATTTCATTTAAATTTAATTCAAATGTCATTTCATAGGTCGGAGTTGATGTTACAGTTAAGTCCGATTAAATTACGTACTGGGGAACCATGTTATACTTAGAAATTCTATATAATTATTGTTTATATAATCAGTTCACGGGGATGAAAAAATGCAATAGTACGTTTTAGTATATAAATTGGTCGACTGCTTTATTTAACGTAATACTTTTTTTTTTTTTTTTAAACCACAAGTTTCTGGTTTGTTTTTCTATTATTTACAGTTGTACATTTAAAATAAGTAAGCTACTGGCGAGTTGAATAAGACATGCGGTTTTTTAGTTAAGTCATAGTTAAGTCACCAAACTTTTCATTTGGATTTCTCGCTTCACGTTTTGATTTATTAATGTTATGTTAAGCCTTTATACGCTGACATAGTGTTAATATTTCAATTTATGACCCCAATTTATTTTCTATGGACATGAGTTATCATTCTTAAACAGTGGACTAGACAACGTCTCCACAGGGCAGATGATACGACTTCTGAGAGAACTCTCCAGAGCTGGAAGGACCATAGTCTGCACGATACATCAGCCTTCAGCTTCGCTCTTCGACCTCTTCGACAGGGTGTACTTCCTGGCAGCAGGGAAATGTGTGTACCAAGGAGGTGCTGGCCACCACCTTATCGACTACCTCGCTGCCCACAACTTCGTCTGCCCTATACACTACAATCCCGCAGATTTTGGTGAGGAATTTTAAATTAGCAAACTACCTATACGAATATTATCATAAACAAACTAGATATTTAAAAAAAAACCTAAATCTTAAAAAGTGCAGTGAAAATCGGTTTATTTCCAAAACTGGACTTTTATATCAAGGAATTAGCGAAACATGCATTTCTTAAGTATTCTTAAAAAAAAATCACCAAAAGCTTATTTAACCATTTTATTCAAATGAAAATTAAAAATAAATTATTTATTTATCGTTACATTCCGCATCTACCCGAGCAGATCATTAGCGGCTTTAGATGAACTTAAATTAGGTGGATAAATTTAATGTCATTCATGAATTTAAGCACTAGCGGATCCAGAATTTAATTTTGGAGGGAGCTTTTGGAAAAGCAGAAAGAAACTAACTACCTATATGAAATGGTGTTTAAGTGATTCCTTAAGTGATTTTAGATGTAATTAGATTAACAATAATACTTTAAGAGGTATTTTTAAAAAAAAATTTCCCATAAAACATGGTTATATTTTTCCATTTTGGGGGGGTGGGCTTCAGCCCGAAAGCCCCCTCCCCTCCGTAGATCAGCCCGTGAATTTAAGTACTTTTTGTACCTTCTCTTCGTCAAATGCAAATGCGTCAGATATCGTGGAAGGTATATTATGTTTTGTTCTGGTGTCAGAATACAGTCTTCAAGTTGTTGCAATGTGTTTCAGTGTAGCTGATGTGTTGCATGTTTCACAAAATGGTGGTTCCAGGCTTCTCATTATGTAGCCGCGGTTGAAGGCTGCATGTCCCATTCTAAGTCGAGTTAAAATTATTTCCTCTGATCTGTTCTTTCTGAAACAGGTTGTCCATAGTTGAATATCTTTTTTAATTTCTTGCAATTCGTTTGTAGATTGGTTCCATTTGAATTGCCATTTTCCATTTAGTAATTTTTTTTGCATAGCCATCTCCAGTCACCAGTGGTGGTTAAATTGATCATTGTGGTTCCATTTGTTTTTCTTCTGGCGAGGTTCGCAGCCCTGTCTGCAGCTTTGTTTTCAGATATGCTACAATGTACTGATGTGAGCATGATGTCTCTATCCGGCGACTCCATTATTTCTTTGAAGCAGTGTTTGATTTTTCTGGTAATGGCATTGTCGGAGCTCTCTTCGGCAATGATCATTAATGAACTTAAAAGTCTGTAACTATAAGGCCATGTTTTATGTTTTTTTCTGTTAGTAATAATGATAGTTCGCCTGTAAAGACGCTGTTTATTTGGGGCAAATTGAATTTGAGGTACTGATCTTTCAGTATTACTGCACATCCAACGTCACTATCTGTTTTTGATGCATCTGTGTGTCCCAGATATTTGAGTTTCATTTCTGTAAATAATTTTTTTTTTGTTTTTTTTTTTACAAATTAGTAGTCGTCAGTTTGTATTTTCCTAGCAAGAGACGTGTCTGTTTTTATGAAAGAGTTATTTCATTGAGAGAATAAAGCGTTGTCTATTGTCATAATGATGTTCACTCTAAAGTATAATTGTAAAAAGAGTTTGTGGATTCTCTCTGTAATGCCAGTTAAGTAGTGCACTTGGTTGCTGCTGATGCTGGTAAACAAACTATGGTTGAGGTGGTCCGGTTTAGAAGCTTCAGATGAGGCGTAAGCAAGAGTAAGATAGTCTCTTCTTAAAGTTAAGCTCGGTTCTTAACTTTGAATGAATAGACTTTCAACGGGAGATGATCCCTGGTGTATAATCTTATTGCAATTTTGTGGACGGTATCGAGTATTTTGAGGGCTCTTTCCGAGGTTGAATTTTTATAGTCTTCTAATTAAAGTTTGATGCAGTATACATATATACATATTGTCTTTCTATCGGATTCCCAGTTCATTCCAGAAACAGCCCTGAGTATATTTATAAGTTTTAAGCAAAAGCAGAACTCCAAGAGATCCCTGCGCTACTCACTCAATCGCGTCACTGGTGCGAGAGCCAGTAGTGATTTATTAAATAAATTATCAAACGTTTTATCAGTGTAATTTAAGAGTATTTAGCCTCATAAATCATCATCTTAATATTATTTTACCGCAAATTAACACATTTATATTGAAAACATATACGAGTAAACACGTATTTTACATTACTTTAATGAAATAAAAAAAATATATATAACTGATATTACAATTATATTAATCATAGTCAACATAATAAAATAATGCAATTACTTAAGAACGAGCGATCGCAATATTTGATTTAAAATATTTGCTAATAAACTTTTTTAAAAGAGAAGTCCTTTTTATATTATAATAACATGAAATGCTGATTTTTATCTATATATACTAATAAATGAAAATAAAGTTATTAGGTCTACTATTAATCGTTTGTGCTATATGTCAGCAATACGTTAAGTTGTAATTTATTCATGAAACTATTTTCTCATTATCATTATTTTCATTTTTTTTTTTTTTTAACAGTTATTGAAGTAACAGAAGACTTTCTGAACATACAAGAATTGTGTAAGGCATCGAAAAATGGCAAAATCAGTTGGTACTGTAAAACAGACGGTTCGAATAAACCTCAAGGTAAACTATGTTTTATTATAAATGTTTCCCTATTCATATTATATTTTTTTAATTTCCATAAATAGTTATCCATAAAGTGAAAAACATAGGATCTATATACTAAGTAATAGATATTCATGCAAGTGCATTTTATTATTTGTTTATAAGATTTTCTACCAAAATAATTTTAACTCTTTACAGATCAATATATTTAGCATAAATAAACATTATACCTTCTGATGCACGTTCAATACAGGATAAATGTTTTGTTTGATTGCTATTACGTGCGCTACCCATGCATGTGCAACAGGGAAGCTGAATAAGTCAGAGAATTATTTACCGATAAAAATAAATTAATTATCAATGAGAAAAAAAACTTCTGCAAGTAAATTCTCAAGTTAAATTAGTACCTAATGATTCTTACAGGTAAATACTTTTCACCACTTCAAATAATCACGAGATGGGTCATATTATTTTACAAAGAAGTTAAAATAATAAATGATATTTAAAACATTCAAAATAATGTTGACATAATTGAGAATAGCAATATGATTGTATGAAAAAAATTATAAAATATGGCGAAGTTTTTTTGTTTCCAGTTTTGTTTCTAGTTTTTTTGTTTTTTTGTTTTGTCCAGTTTGCTTTCTAACCTTGAATGGAAATTCATAAAGATATCAAAAAAATAAACAAATTAAAAAAAAACATAAAATTACAAAAATTTCCTTGAAAAATCAAAATAATATAAATTATTTTTAATTTTTTTATTAATTTAATTTGAAATATTAAATAAACACTTTTTTATTTTTTAATATTTATTATATTATTATTAAAAAATTTTTAAACATCTTTTAAAGTCAATGAAGAAATTTAGCAATTAAAATAAATAAATAAAGCTAAATGATACATTTTCTGTATTTTCATAGCAGTTTGAACTTCAATCGAAGCAATTAATTATAATTTATTAAATATATGTTATATATTCATTTATAATATACATTTACTTTATAAATATGTAGTGTTTTCACGTCATAATATCCATATATACAAATTTACTAAATGTATTTCCTTAATACAGTTGTAAATATCATTAAGAAACAAAAAAAAAAAAAATATATATATATATATATATATATACACATATGTATATAACGTTCTACAAGGACCATAGAGCCATCGGATGATGATAATATTATAAATTAAAATGAAAGGTCATTGAAGATGTTGGTAAATGAAGAAGTATCTCCAAATCTATTCCATTCATAAGTTCTGGAGTAAATATTAATTTTATCAATTTGTAAATGATACTATAATTGTATTATAATCTAGGTAGTAATTTCTAATAAGCTTACCAAGGCACATCCCGCAAACTAAAAACGATGTCCCAATAAAAAAAAAATCAGGAAGAAATGAACTGACGAAGATTTGAAGAAACGATTTCCATAAATTATAATTACAACAAATAGAACGAACAATAAAAACCAATACCTCTATAACTCATGAAAGTAGTGAGTTGAGTACTTGATGAGGAAGTACAGATGACTATCTTGACAACGATTGCATAAGGAGTTGCTATCATTAACATACCCGACCGCCTAGTTTTACTAATAAAAAACTGGTTCATGACTTTTACAAATATTTCCACTTAAAAAGTAATATTGTTTCATTTTTATTTTTCATATTCTTCAAATTACTAAAGTACATAAGTTCGTTAATAATTAGATAACAGCTTCTTTTTCGAATTACAATATTTATCAAACTTTGCACGCTTTGTTACAGTCCTGATAAAAAAACAAGAGGGGATGAAAAAGAAGAGGTTTTCCAAATTCAAGCTGTTCCGGGATTCAAGATCTCATTCACATTTCTGGCTCCAGTTCTGGGCAATTTTCTACAGACTAACGCTCCAGTTAAACAGGAATAAGGTGAATATGCAAGAAAACATTTTTTTTTATAAAATATCACGTCATATAAAATGTAATTATTTTAATAAATTTATTTATTTCCTACTTAAAAAATAATAATAAATTATTAAGTATAAAAAACAACGAATGTAAGCATGCAAGTACACGACACATATAAACAATGATTGCAAAAAGTATGCATATTTTCCAGAAATTTTAGAACAATGTTTGAAAATAGGAGATATTTCTAACATGTATTTACTGGAGTAGATTTTACATGGCCATTACAAATAATTTTATTGATTTATAATATAGTATATGTGTATAAAGATGTATACATAGATGTATATGTATATATTTTATTTTATATATTGTATTTGTATAATAAAATCCCTGTAGAGTGATAAAAAAAATAGAATATTATTATATAAATCACATAATTTAAAGAAATAGATTGCACCAGTGTAAAAATCTTTTTTCCATTCGTATTTTGCTTAATAATACAATGACGTCGATTCGATTAAACATATCTTTCTAATAATTACACATGATGAAACATTTTTTCAAAATTTTGTTGTTTGTGTTTTGTTGTTTCATTACATGAGCTATATGTTGGTATTCATAGTAATGTCAATGGCATCTATTATTTTCAGGTTTTTAAAATGCCGCATAATTGGCTGAGAAGTGATAACTCTATCAAATAATTGTCAGAAAAGCAGGTTTCATGTTTTAAATTATTTAATATCAAGAAACTACATATTGTGCTGCAGTGACCTCACTGTCAGCCATATTCTTCAACAATATCCCTATTACGCATCGACTTTAACCAAATTACGACTCATACCGAAACTATGAGATATTTTAAATAATGATGAAGTTAAAGTAAGATCGGTGATAAATTTTCTTAAAGTTGATGATTTACTAAACAAAATTTAAATTTGAGTATTTTTTAATTACTTTTTTCCCAAAAATAATTTAGTATTTGTATCTCGAATTTGTAGACGAAGTCGTTAAATGTGAAAAATAAAATTAATTCGCTCATTTCTAATGTGAACACTTACAAATCTTTTTTTTGAAAATCGATATAAGTATCGATTCCACTACAAAAATAATGTCGTGAAAATAAGTTTATTTTCAAAATCGGCCTTTTTTTTTTTTGACGATTTTAATGAAACCTGCATTTCTAAAGTATTCTTACAACAATAATTTATCAAAAGCCATTTTTTCGTTTTATTCATATGATAATTAAAAATAAGTTAGCTTTAATGTACCATTATTAAATTTATGACTACTAAATAAACGAAAATATGATTTTTTATTGTACAATTTATATACACCATTTTTTTCCAAACCAAATCTTTCTTTTTTTTTTTTTTTCAAATCCACCCGAAAGCTGCAGTACTTTTCAGATTTCAATATTTTATAAGAATCAATCGTTTTAAGAAAGATATCCTAAATACAAATAATAAAATATCTTAATTTTTTTTTTAATATTGATGTTCTTCTTACAATAAGATTGGAAAAATATCAGTTTTTATGTTTCATGGAAATTTCTTAATGATTATTAGGTTTCACTTTGGAAATAATTAGATGACACCGTCTTATGACCATCTTTTCTTGCGATAACTAGTATCATAACTAACATATGACGGTCGGGGAAATCTGAAATTATTTTATATATTTATTTATTATTATTATTATTTATTTATTACTATTCATTTTATAATTTTAATAAGCTTATTCACATTGTTCATAATTTTTTGTCTAAATATTATTCAAGTTCCACAATTCTCTATATCTTTTTGTATCTCGTCCGTTCTAGGCCTGAAGAAGACCTGCAAAGTTGGGTCGAAACGTTGGCTTTTAATAAAATAGTTTTGCCACTATTTAGCCTATTTATGACAGCCACCTCGGACCATCTCCTTCCTTGGAAATTATTTTAATACGTCGCTTTAAGAGTCATCAAAACTGTGTACAAAAAAAAATTAAATTTCGTTTTCTAATTGCGTTTAAAACTCCTTCCTTTCGCAGATGCGATTAATCACTTCTCAATCGTCGCTATGCATTTCAACGCTATAGTTCGACCGCCATTCGATCGCCATTTCGTTCGCGAACTCAAACAGCACATATTTGAAACTCACATTTTTTTTTTTCCCCTAGCTCTTCGATATTAATAAAAAAATATCTAAAAATGTATACGCATATTGAAAGATAATATCCTAGCCGTCTAATTTATGTATATATTTGTAAATATTAGTATTGCCCAAATGCGAGACCGAGACGAGTCTTGGTCTTGCAAACTCAGTCTAGGTCATGGTCTTGGTCTTGCGCAAGAGTCTCGCAATAGTCTTGCAGTTACTTATTAGCTTATTACTATAGAGATATTACTGTAATTTTTTAGATAGGAGAAACCTAACTAAGCCCGAATGAAAAATTAGAGAAGTTAAATGCAAAAGTATATTGGTTATACCAATTATTAACATACAGTAACTAAGATTATCAAGTATTAGTAACTATTTTGCCTTAATTTTTATTTAAAAAATCGATTTTTTTTACCAGCCCTCGTCTTGGTCTTGCAACAGTTATGCGGCCTTGGTCTTGGTCTTGCAAAGTGCACTATTCTAGAATAAATATTACTTTTCTTTTTCAGATCGGCATCTACATTCAAATTTTCCATCACGTCGCCTGCAGTGTTATCATCGGTGTCCTCTTCTACGATTGCGGTAACGATGGTGACGACCCATTCAATCTGGTGAAGTTCTACATGACAGTTATCGTCTTCTATACCTACACACAGTCTATTATATCTATTCTACAATGTGAGTCATATATGTATTTCAACAATGATTTTTTTTACTTTGGAAATTTCTTTATTGAGATATATTACAATCTGTCACATTCAAGGACAATAGTAATAGTGATAAAGAGTAGCTCATTCATATTATGCACAATTAATAAGAATAATAAACAGCAATATAATGATGCTAAAAGTAAATGCATATAAACTAAAATATACTAAACTAAACAAAAATAAACTAATCTAGCAAAAGAAATATATAAATAAAGAAAGAAAGAAATAAACACATGCTTTTATACAATATTATAATATTCATTCACTCAAGATCTCCGAGCCAACACAGGACTCTAGGAGATCCTAGCGTCTTTCACTCAGCCGCATCAATGGTATTACCAATGGAGGCTGAGCCAACATTGACATAAAAAACAAACAAAAATAACATAAAAACTGAGTTTTAATTTTTCTTGAACTACCTAAAGCAGAGGAGGATTGTAACCATATTTATTTTCTGAATCATATTTTAACCGTTTTAAAGTACTGATTATGAGTTTGAAAAATAATTAAATTAAATTCCGAAATATATATTTTTATTTATTTTAGGCTTTGGTTGAATAAGTCAATAACTATTTGTTTTTCCTATGTCTTTATTAATGGCCGAGACGGGCGCGTGAAACGTCTTACCGGTTGCCATTTTGAAACGAAAATCAAATTTAATAAAACGTCCATACAGAGTCAGTGCTTTTTTTTTCCAAATATATGGGCTGTTTTCTCTTTTTTTTAGATTTGTCACTAAAATCATAGAACTTACCTGGATGAAATCAAAAATTGAGTTTGCCAACTGCCGATTCACTCGAGTTCGAAACATAACCGAAGAGAGAAAGAACACGTTTTAATTAAAATGCCAAAGAGCTTGAAGAGGTAAGTTTTTAATATCAATCACAGCGACCTGAAACGATTCAGTACACCATTGCTAAAGTATCATAAGTTTAGATCAGTTATATTTAATTTTTCGTTCTCTAATTAATAGTAATTTGACATGCTTATAATCTCATATTTTCTTCTTATTTTCATAAAAATCTTTCCATATTTCACCACTATATATATTCGTTTAAAATCGTAAGTCGTTAGAGACCAGAGAGCTTATATCGGATAATTGCGAAAAAAATTTTCGCAACATCATTTTTAGACTCAGAGGTCTCAAACGGGTAAAGCATGTAAGATCTTAAAGAGGTTTTCTTTTTACTAGTGTTCTGTAATTTTCTAACAGAAATATTTAATATATTTTTATTCATTGATATATTCTGTGCTTCGATAAATTCAAATTACTAATGCTATTTTTGAAATAGATCCTTTTGAAAGAAAGCTGGTGAAGAGGGAACACTTCAACCAATGGTATTCACTCTTTCCATACTACGCAGCGTACACAGTAACCAAAGCTTGTTACATGGTGAGTACCATTATTAACTAAACATAAGATTTTCGTTGTAAATAAATCGGATTGAGAAATGTTAATGATAGTAGTAGATTATCTAATGTAATGTAAAGTAATGAATATAATGTAGATCTTCATCATCTTTTCAACGATTTTAAACAGGCTTACGACAGTGTCAATAGAAGCGAATTATTGAGAGTAATGGTCACTTTGGGTGTACCGAAAAAGTTAGTTAGACTAACAAGGAAGACACTGACTGATAAATGATGTAATTTCAAGATACAAGGAGCAATATCGGAAAAGTTTGAAGTTGAAGACGGCTTAGTGCAGGGAGATTCCTTGTCCATAACTCTCTTCAACTTAGCCTTAGAATATGCTGTACGTGCTATTCGAACAAGCCCTCATGGCACGATATATAATAGGCTGTCACAGCGTCTACCCTACGCAGACGACGTCGTAATATCGGCTAGATCAGGAGCATCTTTATTGGAGGTCTTTGAGGAATTCAAAAACGCTGCGAAAAAGTTGGGCCTCCATGTAAACGACTAAAAGACAGTTTATATGAAGTCATCAAGAAACCTACCAGAAAGAATGGAAGACATTATCAAATTTTGAAGCCTCATCTTCAGGATAGGAAACCAGTTTAGGTATTTAGATGCTCTTGTCACATCAAAGAACGAACAACAAGAAGAAACTAAGGCGAGAGCAGCTGCAAGAAACAGCTGATATTACGCTCTTCAAAAGCCCTCAAAATTCAGAGGCTTGGCCAACAGAGCTAAGGTCATCATACAAAAGCGTCATTAGGTCCGTTGTGTCTTATGGTTGAGAGACTTGTGTACTTTCCAAAGAATGTTAAAAGTTTGGGAAAGGAAAGTACTCAGTAATATATATGGACCTGTCTGCGAAAACGGCAACTGGAGAATAAGAAAGAATGAGGAGCTGAAAGAGATGATCCAAGAACCAGATTTGGTTTCTTTTGATAGAAAAAATCAGTTGAGGTGGCTGTAGAGCAGATGCCGGCGAGTAGGATACCCAAAAAATTGCTGAATGGTAAGACTGGAGAAGGAAGAGTTAGGGGAGGTCCACAATTAAGATGGTCAGATAGTATAGAGTGAATATTGAGAAAGAAGGGAATCAGAGGATGAAGAAGACTCGCCCAGGATAGAAAAGAGTGGAGTAGGATTGTAGAGGAGGCCCAGGCCCTTACAAGGATGTAGCGCCATGGAGTAAGTAAGTAAGTAATAGTAGATTTTCTAGAGAAAGAAATCTAAAAAACTGGTACAATAAACGAAGCTTAGGAAAATTTAAGAAATATTTGTTGTTAATTTATGTTTGTCGCCTTATTATTACTCAGATGGGGATCTACGGGGGAAGGCTTTGGGTCTGAAGCTCTCCAAAACGGTAAAATATAATTATGTTTCATGGGAAAAAATAATCTCTTAAAGTATTATTGTTCGATGTAATTACATTTGAAAGGACTTTAGGAATCACTTAAACACCATTTCATACAAGTAGTTAGTTTCCTTCTTTTCTTCTTAAGTAATTATCGTTATTTTTATGGGAAAAAAAGCTTTGGATCCGCTAGTGCTCAGATGTGCTAAGAATGGTTGCTTTACTGTTCAAGAACCAGTTACAGATATATAAGAGTATAAGGTAGATATTTATTACGCGGGTTCATAAAGAATTCTATTATCTAAGGCCAGTTAACCAACGCCGCTTTTTATAGGAAAGTACCAACCAGGGTGCTCCTCCAGGACGCGCGATCTTCAACTTAATCTATTATTTTCAGACTTTTAATTATCAACTCTCCAATTTTTTTTTTTTTTTATAGATAATAGTTATTTATTTATTCCATTCTTTTATGTCATTTGCAACTGAGGTATATCGCATCTAGCGAATTTGATGTAACTGTGATTTACCTTGATAATAGCCTTCCTTGGCTTATTGAGTTTTTGGTTAAGCTGTGGGACGGTGAAATGAGCCATTTTCTTTTAAATCTGAGTCGAGGAGGTAACAGGAAGGAGGAAATTGATAGAACGAGTGGATGCGGTGTATTTGATTTGTGTGGTTTCAAATATATGGTTTCGCATTAATAAATTTGCATTATGAACAATTTTTACTGAAGAATTTTGGATTATTTTTTACGTGTGTTTGTTTTTCTGAACCACAAAGTTCTCCTCCAATGTCCAAATCGGTCTCAGTATAGTGAGCGTAGTAGATTAGTCGCTTGTTGTGTTAGTTAAGTCCAGAAGAAGTCAGCTTCGTCTTGTCAGCTAATAATTTGCCAACTTTTATCATGTCGGCTTCCCTACGTCTTTAATACAAAGAAAAAAATTGAAATGCCTTAAATTAAATAATAGGAAGTGATAATACTAATTTTATAAATTATAGCTATTAAATTAAGATCATAGGTAAAATAATTTTCTGAAATGAGACAGTAATCTGTAATTCAGTTTATAATAATGATATGTAAGTCTGCATTACCAAGTCACTATTTGCTTACTTTCCTCGGTTGCCCCGTCATCGGAATTTCTCCTTTAGCCTGCGAGATACCTTACATGGCTCAAGCAGCTTCAAGAGGCGCAACGTCCATTAAGCTTACAACACTAGGCTAGCTAAATGTTGGTTTTTCAATTCCTGGGAGTGAGTCCTGCACAAAATTCATTTACTTTAGTGTTATATAAGCTCTTGGTACAAAAACTTTCAAGTGATTAATAAGGATAATAAAGTTAAAACCGCTGTCCATTGTAAAAATCTTTTAATATCAAATGAAATCCATGAGTTGTAATGGAGATTTAGGAGAGAGGCAAGGATAGAGTTCCAAAAGGATGTAGTACAATTAATAAAGAATTTGTCAAATGAAGAAGTTCAAAGGAGGAGGATATTGAAATCGGATGGAGTGGGATGATTTTATTGCGAAAATGAGTTCCTATTTAAGACGAAATTGTAGTCAGATATGAGGAAAACGGTAGGTTTGAATTTATAAACTACTCTGATCTGTAAACAAATATGTTATAAAATACTATATAGAAGAATGCACAAAATACTTAGGAACATCCAGTAAAAAAACTATGGTGTGTGCTTTACACCACACCATAGACTTGAAAACATCAACAAGGAGAGGTTAATAATATAAAACATGAATTATAAATAATAGTTCATTATAAAAAATATTAAATGGTGAACATTTTTTTTGCTTACAGTAAGCAGGTCCGATTTTTACTTTCTGAGGTATTTTAATCCATGTCTTCAATAAAACTCATTTTGTTTTCGATACCTTTTTTTTTTTTTTCATTTTCGCCTCTCTAACTCGGCGTCGCATTAAGAAATAATTTTGAATAATAGCTTATAACAAAGAGGATAAAATTATGAACATTTCTCTCGCCAACAATATGCAGGTCCGATTTTTAGTTTTGAAGATATTTTAACACTTCAATTAGTCGACTCCAGCCGACTTTACCCAAGCGTTACACATTGGAAATCTGATGGCTCAATCTAATTCACTCTCCACAAAAAAGTGAATAAAGAAGTCACTTCAAAAAACTTTAAAATAAACAAAAAAATACTCCAAAATGATACACAAGATTCACTAAAAATAAGGAATCTTTTACATAAGTACGACTTAATCAATAGCAAGCGGTGCCCAAAATGTTCGTTACAACTTTCAGTCGTTATAATTTATTTTATCGAAGTATAAATTAGTTTTCATTATAACTTAGTTCAGAACACATCTAAAAGAAGTGCCACATGCGTTCGTCCAAGTTCTACCAACTAATAGAAGATATCAATAATATCCATTGATTTAAAACGAGAGGAGGTGATAGGATAGCTTGTTTTGAACATATTTATAGACATACAATATGATTAATATTTAGATAAAGAAAATCACATAGAAAATGGTTTAGAAAGGATTTATCATAGTTGAAAAGTTGAATTGTTGTTTCTAGTAGATATATCTTGAATTACAGGGAAAAAAGGAGGTAGTATTGAAATAGTACAATGAATCGTCTGCGAAAGGAGAAGTAGACCCAGTACGATCCGAAGTATGAACTAACATGTTACTTGAAATTCCTTAAAACATCTCATCGAACGTCAACTGTAATATATCAACTATATAAGGGGATACATGAAGAAAATAAGTACTTGCTCCAATAGTTAAGAAAAAATTTTGGTGGGGTGCGAGCATCAAACAACTTTCACTTACCATCCTTTTGTTGGCAGAAATAGGTATTTTCAGACAATGGGAAGAGAATGTAAAATTACAAATTATTTTTTTAAAACAATTCATTACCATATGTTTTTCATAGCCGTCTAATGTATTATAGGTGCTAATTAACAATTGTTAAGGGAACACAGCTATTTAATGTAATTTAAATTAAATTATGAAGCAAGCAGCACTACTGCCATCTCTTGGCTGTCAAGAAAAGCATAAAGGACTGAGCCAGAAATGCAGAGAACTAGCTAGAATTATGTCCACTTAAAACTGGAGCATAGCTGGCCAGCAAGAAGAAGCACATCTCTACATATTTCATAGGAAGAAAACATGGAGTAGTGCCTCAAGAGGCCTAGCGAGGGGCCAGGTGACCGGGGAGAGAGAGAAGCATGAGTACCAGAATGCAGCAAGTACCTAAGAAATTCATTTTTAGCCACCACCCAGCTAATCCACTTCAGTTAAAATAGTTTATAAATTGATTAACATACTAACCCTAATTTTAAAGATTCGGCCTCAATAATTCACATTGTAATGCAATAGATACAAAATACAGCAATCTTATTTTAATAGTCATCCAATCATTTAATATAGCAATCTGTTCAACCCCATAGCATGATCAAATACCCTTACATACAGTCCACAGCAGTCAAATTAGAATTATCCCTACAGCATGATTATTAAGTCAATATCCCTGACAACAGTGGAAGAGGTTGGCTTAATAGATTAAACAACGATTATAAATTTTAATTATTTATTTGATTACAATAAGTAATTATGAGCCATAAAATATCTATAGTCCAACAAGAGTGCTATTAATAAAGAAGGCTATATTATATTTATTTATATTTTATGGTAGGTTTTTTCATTTTTTTAAACATTGGTATGTTTATAAATTTTAATTTTTATATTGAATTAATGTATACAATTGAATATTATGTAATACCAAAGCATAAATTACATACATTAACAATAAAAAGATATTTTATATGTAATACAAAACTATATTACGGCCTACTATTATTTTTCTTCTCTCTTGTTTAATTTACACTTTATTTGAAACATATTTTATACTATGACGCTCATTAATTTAAAAAAATATATATATATGAAATTCTTATAGTCTTGCATACAAACTTAAAATCAAAATATAGTGTGAGAAATTAACATATATTATTTATGATTTTTAATAAGTACAACAATAGATGGAACATAATGAATGTATGTTTTTATAATACAATAGTTTGAATCAAACGTAGTTAGCAAAACCATTCGCTGTAGAAATTAAAAAAAAAAAAATGTTTTCCAGCTCCCCTTACTCCTTATGTTCGTGGCTACATCCTACGGTTTATCAGGACATCAATGGGAACTTGGAAGATTCCTACTGTTCTTGATGGTGGGTGTTTTAACTTCATCTACAGCTGAATCTCTAGGATTAATTATAGGAACAATCTTTAACGTCACGGTAAGTAAACCTTAGTGTAAAATAGAACCAGTAAATATGATAAACACGCATGAATAGTTATGTTTTACTTAGGTTTTAAGTTATGTTAAATATAATTTAGTACTGAAAACTATTATTGAAATGCATTATGGAACGGTTTCATCTTACATAAAACCGCATTTTGGTATTAACATGATCCAATTAAAATTGTATGTATTACTTTTACTGTATAAATTGAATAAACAGTATTTCAGATACTTGAGGAGAAACCAAACATGTAAAAATCGCATTATTTGAATGAAGAAGGAAACAAAATTGTCATGATTTACAGTCAAGAATTTTTATAAGGTTAGTCAAAGTTTTGACCCAAACATGTGGGTCATCCTCAGGGCTATCATTTGGGATTTAGTCCTGAGGAGGACCCACATGTTTGGGCCAAAACGTGGGCGAACCTAATAAAAATTCTTGACTGTAAATCCTGATAATTTTGTTTCATCCTAATAATTGATCAGTTGACTATTACCCTTCTCTGAAGCAATATTTGGAGATTATTTTTCCATGAAGTAAACATGATATCACACAGGAGGATCTACAGGAGGATTTCGGACTGAAGCCCCTTCCCTCCCCAAAATGGTAAAATATAAACATGGTTTATTGAAAAAAATATTAAAAACTATCTCTTGAAGTATTGTTGTTTGTGTAATTACATTTAATAGGACTTCAAGAATCACGTAAACACTATTTCATATAGGTAGTTAATTTCTTTATTTTTTTTTCAAATTAATTATCGTTTTATATAATTTTTTTTAAATTTATTTTTGTTATTTTAAATTTGCCACTGTGTTGGAACGCATCAAGCAAATGTGTTGGCATTAATTATATCTTCTTAAATTCCTGATATTTTCTTAACTTTTCAGCAGATCTCTAGGCCACTGCCTTTTTAGTTGTCTTTGAGGCTCACCAGGTAATAGGGGGGGAGATAGAGATAGAACGAGTGGATTTGGATGATTAAGAGTAGAAAAGTGAAATGTTGTGTACTTGTTGAGTATGCAGGATTTTACTTTTGGTATGTTCATGTCTGTGTGTTTGGTGTGATTAGAAATAAACCAAGGAGCATTGACGATTTTACGGAGTATTTTGGATTGTGTGGTTGAATTTTGTTTATGTGTGTGTGTTTTATATAAATGAAAAAAAAATCTTTCGGGCTAAAGCCCCCCTACAAAATTAAATCCTGGATCTGGTAGTGTGAAACCGCACACCCTAAAAAAAACAGCTCACTTGAAACAGCTCAGAACAGGAAAGAACACTTGAATCATAAGATAATTTATTCATAAAATAAAAAAAAAGATGGACTAAAAAAATATTGGGACGTTTTCCGTGACTTCCACTTCCAACATGTCAAAATAACGAGGTTATACAGGCCAGACGGCCCAATATTTTTATAGGCTACCTTTTATTGTTATCAAATGACCTTACGATTCAAGTGGAAAGAAAACGGGTATTTATGAGCTTTTAGTACCTCATTAAATTAATTAATTTAATAAGAAAACTGAGAATTTTTGTAGATGAAAAATTTGTAGGTTACGATAAGATGAACTCATTTTCGAAGTTTTAGGCGGATATTAATAGTTTGATAAAAATGTGTCTGGGAATGGGCACCGCATCGGCAAACAAAATAAAAATTTGCCTTTTTTTTCATCTGATAGTGCACTTTCTTTAATATTATTCCTAGCTTCAACTATTTCTATGAAATAATTATCATTAGCTACTTTGTAGTGCATTTATCAGCTTCATTTTGAGCTCTGGCGAAAGATCTTTAAGTTCAATTGTTTAAGAGAAACCGTCTTTCAAAAATCAGCATGTTTCTTTTTTAAAACACGAGGAATCACCATTTAGGAATTTTATTTTATCAAATATCGTAAAAACTCCTAATTCTAAGTGTAGTTTGTAATAGTTATCTTCATTATAACAGTTCGGAAACCACCAGAAAATTTATTAATAATTTCTAAATTCATTGCCACTAGCGTTTTGAATCTGCATTTGCTGCGAACACGTTGATATGTCGAAGATCTGGTTTGACAGGAACCTCTTTTTATTTAATTATTTTGTCCTTCAGATCTTGAAAAGTAGAAGGAAAATAAGGAAAGCTTTTTTTTTTCTACTTTAATACAGTACAATTTGGATTATACGAGAAACCTGTTTTTATTCTAATAACGTTTGAAACATTTTATTTTTTATTTTCTCCTCTTAATCGTACGGATCAATTTTATTTAAAATCATTTTCCTTAAAAGTCTTGTTTTTTCTAACAAAGTTTTCACTAGTTCTCCAGGAAAGAAGGAAGGTGGAGGTAGTTTTAATTTCCACAATTTCCAACCTGGAAGAATATTAAATACAGGAGCAAGATACATGAAAAGGAATTATTCAAAAATTGATTAACCTCAAAAGGTCGGTTGTAAAAAGTTCAACAGTCTGCAAAAAAGCTAATCACGAAATAATTACTTATTTCCCACCATTAAATCAATCGTTTCTAATTTAAACAATCCCCCTTACTTCTGCGTTCGCCTTTGCATTGATATTAAGACTTATGTTGATTCATTTTTTTGCTTTTAACGCATTTTTTTTTTGTATTTATAGCATTTATATTTAAAAAATCTGGTGCGCGCAACACACAACTTTCACTTTCTCTTTGAACTTTCAATAGAAATTATTTTCTGGCCATGTTGGGCTATTATAAAATATATGAATTGCATTTTTAACTGAGCTAAAGCTAAAAGATTGCATCTAACAAATCATAAATACTACAAAAATAACAAAAGTCCTATTTATTATATCACCGGTTGATTATGGACTGTACGATTCGTTGATTATGGATTGTACGACTATTTGTTATTAAACTGTTATTTTCCATTGCAAAGTTTATTAAAACGGAATTAAGAGACTTGCATTGTTTGTCATAGACAGGTCAAAAGTTGCCACACAGGTTTCTTTTCAACTCTAAAACGAATGTGTTGTAAGATAACAACCATAGTAAGGTTAAAAACATATCAAAAAGATACTTTTTACAGGCATTATTAAGCTTCACTGTAGCTTCAGATAAAATCGTTCCGGTAATAACTTACCTATATTATATTTGTTCATTATATTACTTTAATGTATACGAATACGAATAATAGTCCTAAATCTTGCAGAATGGCTCCATCGTTGGACCGATGACCTTGACCCCAATTTTCGGCTTCGCCATCTACGGCATCGACTTCTCCAGGACGATAGATCCTTTCATGAGCCTCCTGTTGAGGACGTCCTTCATGAGGTCAGCTAGGACCCTGCTCTTCTTGGTCGGCTACGGTTTAGGAAGAGGAAAGTTGGAGTGCTCTATGGACACCTCGCATTGCATCTTCAACGATCCACGGGTCTTCATATACCAACTCAACCTGGAACATGTTACCCTATGGTACGCCATCGCGGATCTCTTCCTTCAAGCTCTACTCTACAGGTATGAAGTTGTCAATCAGTCACTCGAACTGTAACTAATCCATGTAACTTGAATACTAGAGTTAATATAGCTGACGAATCCTTGAATTTTCAAACCTTTGAGAACATACAATTTGGTGTGATTTCAGTTTAATGAAATAATTATTCTATAAGACATGAAATAGGTGCTATAAATTGAGGTATAGGCACTATATTTGGTAAAAAATAAAATCCTGAGATATGCCTACAAAAAACTCATGTAGACTCAAACACACATGTGATTAGCAAGGGCATATAAATAAAAATGTATATATATTATTTTTTAAATTTCCTAATTTCCAATGCCTAGCAGAGGTGTCAATCCACAAAAGTCGATGGCGAACGGATCTCTTTCCAAGACATATTAGCTTTCTTCTTCTTGAAAATATTACAAATGAAAGTAGAATTAGAAAAATCGTAGATCATATAAAATTACATTTGCTGATGTCTGTTCCATGTTTCCCTCTTGTTTCTTGTTTTCAATTTTTTGGCATATAGAAATTCCAAAAATCAAAAATCTGTAATCCTGTAAAAATGTGCTCCCCTCAAGTTCAAAAAACCCTGAAAATGTGTCCCCGTCAAAAATTTTGCAATTTGCGGCATTCAACTCCGTTCTAAATACTCATCTTGCCTAATTTACATATTACAATGAAAATTTTGCTTGATTACAATAAGCTCAACAAGTTACACGTTCTCCACAATCTCACGTACTGTATATTCATTAATAGAAACATATCAACACGGAGCTGACTTCTATACTTTAGCTAGTTAGGCATGTCATAAATACGTTGCGTTTATCTAAAGTACCAGATATCATATTGTCGGTTCATTAAAAAGTCACTAAGCAAATTTTTGATAGCTCAATCACGAACGTATGTTATATTCGTATGTAAGTTTTTGTTCAAAACGTTTTAGTATCTACGTTTTTATGAATTCCTAGGCGAAAGTGGTGACCATGGTATGCCGCACCCTGCAGTAAGTTTAAGTTCATATAATCACCAACGTCCCCTCTAACTTTAAAGAATGCGGAAACTCAGCCCTACCGCACGCCTAAAAAATATACTTTGAAAAATAACTGTTAAAAAAATCAAAAGCTAATTTTTGCATTTTTGTTTCAGGATTGCTTTTTACTTGGTTTTGAAGTGGAAGATGAGGAGTTGAGAAAAACTGCTGACGAAATTGCCTTATTTTAGAGAAAGTTATTTAGAATATCTAAATATTCAGAATTTTTAAGATAAACCGTCCAGTCGTCAAATGAACATATCATTTGTCAAAAGTGCTTTCAAATTTTGGTTAAAATCATTTTTTTTCAACATAAGAAACATTTTTAATGAGAAATTAGATCTTATTGTGCCACTCTGATGTGGTACATTTTATAAGTTAGCCCACAATAATAATTAGCATATATGTATATATTTATACGACAAATAAGGCATTAAATATATTTATATCCTTCTGTATTAATAATGTGATACTCAATTTTAGGAAATTATATTAGGTCTAATAAAAACTAAATATCTTTCTAAAAAATAATAATGAAAAACAATTGTAAGGTTGATTCAATATTTATAAAAAAAAATGCATTTGACAACCACTAAATTCTAGATCTATAAAAATCACAGTTATTTTTTCACTGATATATGTATATATAAATTTTATTTTTTTTCGGTTGGTACTACAGAATGTGAAGATCTTTGGCCGCGAGATATGGTCTCCTTACAGACGTATGTTTCACGCGGGAAGTCAGATAGCCTGAAGGGGAATACCCAATCTCACATTGCTAGGAACCATAGTCTCCATGGTGCAGCGGCAGGCCACCAGTAGCTCCATAGCCGATCCCGTTGGGACCAATCTGGCCTTCTCACCTACTCACTCGGGTTCAAGGACAGTGACAAATCGGTCTAGATCCATGGATTATGGCTGATCGGAGTCAGCAGGCGCACGAGGATCTATATTTCTTTTCCCGAAACAGACTGTCCAAGGACCGAACCTCAGGTGGGCTACTAACATCCTGGTAAACCACATCCCGATTCTCGATTTAAGTACACGGGATAGAGCCATCAGTCCTATGCCCGATGAGTGTGAGGGGAGGGTTGTCTCCAGTAGGGGGTAGGGAGAAACTCGAGCAGCATGGCTTTCCCTGGCGGACGATTACCCAAACCGGGCGGTCACCCATTCAAGTACTAACCACGCTCGACGTTGCTTAACTTCGATTACCATTGCAAGCGCCTTAGCCCGTACGGCTACCCCAGCTCCACATATATATAATAAATACATTCATCATCATCACCATCCGATGTCGCTACGGTCCTTGCAGAACCTTGGCCGTCTATCTCTGCTACCTTCCTCCAAACCGACATGTCTTCGGCAGCCCCTCTCCATCTGTCTACACCCATGCTCCATAGATCGTTTTCGACATCTTCCAGCAAAGAAAGTCTAGGCCAGCCTCTTTTCCTTCTTCTATCTGGGTCCAGCCTCAATCATCTTTTTAGGAAGCCTGCCATTTTTCATTCTTTTCACGTGATCTTATCATTTCCCTCTTAGTGGTGAATATAATATTTGGGGCATTATATAGCTCCTTTAGTCCTTCATCCGCCAAACATTTTCTTCTTTTATTGGGCTACAGATTTTACGGAGGATTTTTCTTTCCCATATGTTTAATAGTCCCTCTTCTTTAAGTGGGAGGGTCCAGGACTCGCTTCTACATATAACAGCTGATTGCAGGACATCCTTATATACTCTTATTTTGAGAGCGCTTACTACTAGCTGTGATAATGATAATACCTGCCTTAGTCCTTGAGATGATGAGTATAATAACAATGATGATAGATACATTAAAATAATCAAATTATAAATAAACAATTTTCAAAACAGTTATAGTTTTTAGTATTTTTTTGAGAAATATAAAATCTGTAGTCTTTCAAATTAATGATTTCTATAAATTTTGCAATAAGGTAGAAGGATTTATATATTTATAGAAAAAACCTTCAGAGAAATAAAAATTGTGATAATTTAGCTGATAATATTAGATAATGATCGACAATTTTTGTAAGATTTAATATTTTTTTTCTGATTGAATGCTGTTATATTAGATATAAATAAAAGTATTAGTTATAGATGTATGTTACAGTGTTGTATGAATGAAGAATAAATGTTTTTAAACTTAACTTTGTACCTTTATTAAAAATCCTATATCTAATTAAGTATTTAGTCTTTTAAAATTTCGTAGTTTCTCTTCTTCTTATACTCCAAAATTCCTATCAATATAAATAACAACTGTAGGATTTCAACCGTCTTTAAAGCTAAGTTTAATTTCTTCAGTGACTTTCTATAATTTGTACATGTGATAAAACTTGCATAGGAAACTCAAGTACAACATCCAGCTACAACAATGAAGAGTGATAGCTTAATAGCAGGAAAATAACCTAGAGCTCAATTACCAATTATTTTAAGTGGTTTTCACTGCGATCTATCAGCTATTATTTGCATACGATTATAAAAACTTAAAACGGTGGTATAACTTCATTTAAAACAATTAATTACGATGTTTTTCCCGAAGTTAAATTTATACATTTTCATTACTTTACATTTCCTTTTACGACTGTGTATAGTATCAAACAATACTAATGATTGTGGGAAAAACGTATCTTTTGGAAAACAATTTTTTATAGTTTTATTGGAATCATTTATCAAGAAACTCGTCAAAAAATAAACTTAGCGTTAGTAAATATTGCATATTATTAGATTTACATTAGTAAATCTTAAACATTTTGCATAAAAACCTCTTTAAAAATTTTTGGATAAGTGATACATAAAAGTTAAAGTAACAATATGAAAGCCTTGTACTGAGGTGCACGGGCGGATCTACGAGGGGGGCTTTCGGGCTGAAGCCCCTCTCCCTCTCCACAAAATGGTATAATGTGTAAAATAAAACCATGTTTTATGAAAAAAAATTATCACTATAAGTATTATTGTTGGTTTAATTATATTGATTAGGACTTAAAGAATTACTTAAACATCATTTCATATAGGTACTTAGTTTCTTTCTTGCTTCTGAAGTAATTATCGTAATATATACCTACAAAAAAAAAATGTTTCGGGCTGAAGCCCTCCCCCAAAATTAAATACTGGATCCGTTAGTGCTGTGGTGTACCGAGTATCTGTGAAGGGTGAGAATCGGCAAAGGTCGGGCGCTCTCGGCTGAATAGCCGAGCATTCTACATAGCTTATACCGTATAGCTTTCTATCCTTATTTCCCCTTTAGTTACCAATCAATTTTCTTCATTCACTATATGTAATCATTTTTTATAACAGGTTAAATGTGAAATAGTTAATTATTTCAAATAAAAAAAATTAAAGATATTTAGAGGAAGAAATTTGAGCAAATCGGCATATAAGCCCTGTTAGCTTGCATCGATGAGGATAAAACCTACCTTAAATTAAAAATCACTTGATAATACACTGACCTAGTGAGTTTTATTATAATCGTTTGAGCCGTTTTTGAGAAAATCGTAAACATGCATTAAATAGATAATATAAAGTACCACTTCCGGTTTACCGATTTTGACGAAAATGTTGCCGTTACATCGCAGGCATATAAAAATCCTAAGATTTTACGATCTCTAAAGATTAGCAATTTCAGTTTCTTACATTTTTTTTTTTTAGGCTGTTCACATACTGACAGACCATTTTGTGGGACTTGGTTATTTGGACTCAGAGGACTTCAAAACGTATATTTCCGTTGAAAACTCAGATTTGAAAATTTTTTCGATCGCAATTTTTATCCTTATTACATATTCGTATTTCAAATCTATTTAATAGAATATATAAAAAAATAAACGTTTTATCAAATGCAATATTTCAAAGGACTGTAAATATTTTAATCCTATTTAATACTTATCAATAGCTAATAATCCCTTATTTAAGCATTCTCTAAGCTTGTTAAATCCCATTTCACTTCTTCAAAAAAAAGCCTCAGTTTATTTCTTTGTTTCAAAGAAGAATCATGACCTATGATGAGTGTCCTACGATTTCTCCTAATTTTAAGGCAAAAATGAAAAAAAAAAAAAATAGGAAGAAGGGCTTCGGGCGACCATTGATGGATATTGATGAGATTCTGCAGGAAGCTGTTGAGTCAAATCCGTCCACGAGTACTTGCAAAATTGCCAGGGAGTGTATCGAAAGATATTGTTAGTCGCCATATACTCTCCATGGAAGAGGTGAAAAAGAGAAGTATACTGGTCCCTCATGAACTTACTCCTCAGCAATAAGCTAAGTGGTAGAAATTTGTGAACATTTATTGAAAACCCTTTCTGATATGGGATCTTACCGGAGGATTTTCACATGTGATGAAAAGTGGGTTTACTGGCGTAATCCGAATACCCGTGAGCAATCACTAGATCACGGTCAAACTGCTTTTCCGGTTGCTGCAAGGGTACAATTTGAAAAAAAATCCATACTTTACGTTTTTTGTAATTTTGAAGATGTTATTCATCACGAATTCGTTCCTGATAGATGATATATGAATTCTGAACTCTAGTGAGAACAACTGGAAAGATTGTACGCGAAGTTGTCACAGCGTTATCCTGCTTTGATCAACTGAAGAGGAATTTTATTCCAACAAGATAACACTCGTCCTCACACTTTCCGTCGAACCAAAAAAAAATTTAAAGAACTTCATGGGTTCGAACTCCTGTCTCATTCACCATTTAGTCCAGACCTCGCACCATCCAAAAGCGGTCCTAAGTTTCAATGTGTTTTGATTACTATTGAAATATCTTTAGTATATAAAAATGTTTTTAGACTATGTCTTATTTTATTTTATTTTAGTATTATCAGCGTAGGAGTTTACATCCGTTAGTAGGAGATTACTCTCCTATTAGCTCTGTAATTAGCACTAATTAAACACTTGTTCATTTAATTACATATGTGCTGAGCTCCTGTTACCTAATACTCTCCTAATATAAAATTTGTACGGGACATGGTATTTATTCATCTGGAGGTGGAATTTTGGTTTTACCAAGTTGACAGCAGTTATTTTTTCGATCTACAAATTTCTCTTTGACTACAATATATTAATTATTATATTATGTATAGTGTTATTTATATTATAATGTGATATAATTATAATTATTATGAAATAGGAAGCACAATACAACGTACAACAACAAAAATTAGAAATATATGAAGCTCGACAAGTTGAATATATATTATGGTTACGAATTGGCAATAAGAATAATTATAATTATATAATAATATAAATTGGTAATAAGGCGCGATGTATAATATAGATTTTTAAAGAAATTAAAAATATGTGCGAACTGTTCGTTCAGTTTATTTTATCTTGATAAAAAATCATACAATCTAAACTACAGAAAACATGTAAATTACTGTTATACAATTTTAGCAACGAATAGTACAATTAGATGAACAGTTGTATAATTTGTAAAATGGGGGTTGGCCCACCGTTAAGCGGACAGGAAATTCTCAATCTCGATCAATAATTTTCGGAAATGTGCGCTACAAATAAAGAACATTATTTTTTTTTTTTTTTTGCATATTGGTTTTCGTATTCAAATTTTAAAAGAAAGCATAATTTAAGCGTTTTATGAAAAATTGTCAATGGTGATTAGGATTCACTTAGGAAATAAATGGCTCTATCGCTAAGTCTACAGCGATAGCTCCAACAATGACTATTACCATATGTACCAGCGATTTGTGGAAGGTTACTTACGGCCTAGTAATCGAGAGTAGATACTGACATAATTATGGCAGACATTGATAAAAAAAGCATGCTAACCTTAATTAATTAAACTAAAAAATATTCATCAGTTATAAATCCATTTCGCACACACCTTACCTATGGTAGCTGGCACTGGTTCTGTTGAGTTTAATTAACTAGAATAGCTTTCGAATCATTACATCTTTAGCTTAAATGATAGCGTGATCACCAGAAACAAAAACAACTAAAAATAATAAGACAGGAAGAATGTATGAAGGTAAGCAGTTGTGTTTACTATTTATAACAATATTTTAAGTTTTTTAATGAAAACTTTATACAAAACAGCTCTACAAATTGAAGAAAGGCAGACGGGAGAATACGGTTGGTGCGGTTATACTCCGCAAGGACTGCAGAAGTTCAGGTCACCGAAGTGGGCTTTGGCGTTTTGTTGTAGTGCAGCATTCGTTCAAGGTATGTAGTAGCTGAGACGCTTGGCGCAAAAAGTTCGATTTTCTTCACTCAGATTTCAAGTAATTGTCGAACGATATCATAAAATAATGTATCAAATCATTTTTTTCTAGAATAAAACAAAACTATCAACACGAGCATACATACAAAACTGACGTAGGGCAGAATTAGTCATTAATTTTTCAATACAATTTCAGAACTCATAGTAAATAACAACAAGTACTTCCATTATTTAAGCTGGCAGCACATTAATTGCTGTTAAAAAAATAAATTTTTAATCTTATAATGAAATATCCTAATAATGAAAGAATCTGGATGAATTTGAAAGATTGTAACATCTAAATAATATATAGGAGCTTGAAAAAGGTGATTCATGATTTATTTCCCACATATTGTTTGCGTAAAATTCATCACTGAATAATCTGAAATTTATTATTATTATACTCAGTAGTGATTTTTAGCCTCCATTATTCCAAGCCAATTTATTGATTGAGCGCAGCAACTCGGCGACAAGCCCTCCTAAACGAGCTTCCTCCAAACACCTCCGTCTATGTTTGCCACCATTCAGTCCCTGATGTCGAGCATACATCACACAATACAGCCCCTAGGTTTTGGCGTTCCTCGTCCAAAGAGCTGCTTAGGGCATCGTCTCGCATCCCAATCGAGCTACATGCCTAGGCTTACGCAATCTTCCTATACGTTGGGTTTATGCAACATCAGTCTATATCAAGAATCGCGCCCTTATACATTCGTACATCTTGCAGAAAGTGATAATTTGATTGACCGCAACTCTACCTGGTGATAACCACGTTTCCTTATGTATATTTATGTGAAGAATAAAGAGCTACTTATCACCATTTCTTATAATACAGCAAAATTGATCGCTCTTATTCCATTTCTATTGATTTCTTAACTAGTTTATGTTTCTTGATTGTTGGTTTGTATGCATCTTATTTTCCAACTTTCAAGTTCGTCATCTGCTATGATCTATACATCATTTTAAAACACTGGTTGAAAGTTATTAAAATAATATATATAATAATTATGACAAGATAATTATTATAAGAAGATAAACAAATCTTCTTTCTCTTGATCTTCGGATATTTTAGAAGGTGCATAAACGCTAAGCGCATAGCAATACAATCTTCCTGAGAGTCAATAGTAGCCAATGCTATGGCTGACAACTTTAAATCCGATTGGTAAATTACTAGTCCGTCTCTTTCTCTAACTATTAATCCTGTTCCAAATTCGAGATACCTTTTATGGCAGTTAAAATCGAGTTGTGTTTCTATTTCTAATGTGCCCTGACCAATACAGCGAAATTCCTTAATGGTGGCTATGTATATTTTATATCGTTGAGATGATCTAGAACAAGCACAACGCTGTTTAACAGCACCAGGTCGAATCAGAGATAATATGTTAAATTGTGCTAAGTTGATATTCCTATTAGGACAACCGAATTGCTCTTTTTTGTTTATTACATTTCCTCCCCTTCCTCCCTTTTTCGGCAATACGTTTATTTTCCTGGCCAGGAGAAAGGGTGAGGGTTAATGCCAGAATCAAAAGTCACTTGGCAGGACTACAGAGTCCTTTATTTAATTACCTGATCAGATCAGAGGCAGTTTGAAGTTTCATATAATTTTTATAAGTTATAATTTTTGTTTAGGTACTGAAACTGAACCTCCCAACCAGCAGACTGAGTAATCCAGTCTGTCCATTGGAATGCAATATCCATAGATGCAGAACTGTATCCCCATCCCAAGACAGCTTCCTTCAGAAGGATGATCTTTTGCAGTGTACTGCATATAACCTTTTGTACTGTATGTGTGTTGGTGCACATACTTCTTCACTAATCTGGAGGCGATTGACTACAGTAAAATGACTAGGTAAAGGGCTCCACACTTCCCTACCACAAGCAAACATTGTCCAGATGTGTTGCGATTTGCTGTTTTTGTGATCAAATTAAACTTTAATCAGAGAAATTTATGAACATATTTAAGTTCCATATAGTTAATTTCCAAATGTTAAAATTGATTTATTTCATATATTATATGAAGATATATTTATTTAAATAATAATTTTGATTTAGCAATAAGCAAATTGGAAATGAAGACAAGGCTGTGCTTGGATACAACCATTTATGCAGTGAATTATATTAGCAATAAGAAAAATTAAGATCTTCTTGTAGAGATCTTAATTTTTTTCATGGGTAATAAACACCTACAAGCCATAGCATATTTTATAAACGATTATATGATTGTGTTCACATACACTAGAGTTGGTATGGTCATAGTTTTTTACAGAAATCATTGCATTAATGTTTTGAGAGACCGAGAATCTGATCTAGCGTTTTAATTTCATAGTGATCCCAAACATAAATCTGATCGCAGCTATATATCGAATGCACCTGTAATAACATAAATGCCACAAACAATTTTCATTTTGCACATAAAATCTAGAATGTTTTATTTAAAGTCAACAAAATATGATCATTCTGTTTTTGTGATATCTTCAGAGGGATTGAAATATTAATCAGAATTTATTTAATTCTGTTTTTATGATTTTATGAAAGGAGTTATTGTAAATGGACTCCTTCACTATTTCCTGCCCATGATTGAACGCCGCTTTGAACTCATATCCACTGAAGCAGGTCTGATGACTGGAGCCTATGACATAGCATCCGGTATTTGTCTAATTCCAGTTACATATTATGGAGGTCAGAGGAGGGCTCATAGACCTCATTATATTGGAACAGGTGTGATTATCATGGGTACTGGTTCACTGATTTTCTCATTACCAGCATTCATGGCCGGACCATATAAACAGTACGGCTTCCGTGAGATATGTTTTTTTGGAATTGAGCATCCACTGGTTAAGGTGACTTTAATTAACTTATTTTTCTCAGCATCATACTTTGTTATATTTATAAATAAAAGATTTTATTATTATAGGTGCCTTGCAATAATTGCCACAAGCTGTTTTGGCTTCTTTTCTTCGGAAACCTATTACATGGCATAGGAGCAAGCCCGCTATATACACTAGCTGTTACTTTCATTGATGAAAGTTTCCCGTTGGAAACAGCATCACTATATTTAGGTAAATAATGGATCTCAATGTATTAAATTATGAAGAAATAAAATTACAAACCAAAAATTAAAATGAAGATAGCTATTTGACAATGAAAGTAATGAAGAGAAAAACATATCTTGAAAAATAAGAATATCTTATTACTCTGATAAATAAAGTGGGAAACCTCAAGGTAAAAATATTAAACCCTTTCAAAATACCTTGGTCAATGGCAAACTACCTCAAGGAGAACTTACTCCAGATAAAAAACGCAATTAAAACATACTTAGTTTTGTTAAAACTGAGGAATAACTAATACAGCCACTATAATCTATTGATTATATTGGTTATGAGGCTAACTCATTAAAGAAGTTTTGATTGAATTCCTGGAAATTTCATCCTTATAATTCAACAATCGACTACTTACCATTTCTAAAATATTGTAGTATAGTTGATTTTATTATGTCTTTAGAGATATGTAAGTTGTCAACTGATGAATTATAACGATGAAACAAAATTGTCAGAAATATCTGTAAAGAATTAGCCAATGTTTCCACCTAAATATGTAGGTCATCATCATGGCTATTGTTGTTGAGACAAGAACTGCTAGGCAGTTTCATCCTGACAATTTTGTTTCACCATAATTATGTATATATATATTCCCATAGCTATGAACTACTGATATATATATCATATATATATATATATATATATATATATATATATATATATATATATATATATATATATATATATCATAAATGATATATATATCAGTAGTTCATAGCTATGGGAATATAAATAGTTATACCAATAAGATTTTAATTTAAAGAACACAAAACCTTTTAATTAACAATACTCCACTAGTTTCCCAAAAATGTAGGTACTTCAAAAAATCCTCCTAAATCTTTAAAGTCTAAATAATCTCATTTTTGCTGCTGTTTTTTAAATGTTCTTATACAATAAAACCATTAATAAATCAGACGAAACTTTTAAGCAATATTAGTTTGGCTGACACATTCTTCGGTCACAGAGAATGAGTTAGTTGAAAAATTATCCTCATAAGTTAAGTGTATTGATATTATCTCCACAGCCTCATTTGTAATGTGAAAAAAGCATGAGATTGTTTGTATAACTAACCAATGTATCTGGAGGGAGGATGGGCGGTAAAATGAGTGCATATCCTTCCTAAATCTTACTCTCTATGATTAAATTAAATGTTTATTAATTCACATAATTCCTTTTATTAAACCATATAAATAAAGCTTTATTTATGAGCATGATAATTAATACTTGACCTATACTTAATCATGAGGGTACTATAATTACCTATAATGCTTTTATAAATATCCTAGATAAAATAAATTTTATTACAAAAAAAAAGTTATTGCTGAGGGTATATAAGGATTTTTTTTATGAAACAACTGTATTTATTTATCTTGTTAAAGTTTATTCATTACTCTCATAAATTAAGTAAATTCATGTACTAACTAGACGAAGAATAAACCTGAGTTTTTAACTGATATAAGAATTAGCCAATGCTTAGTGGATAATGATAAAATCTTGCAGGAATATATTATATGATGTCAGTACTTGGACCTTTTGTTGGCATTGTAATGGGTGGTTCTCTATCTCATATTGATGGAGATTTTCTGTATTCTGTTTCTCACAAGTAAGTATAAATAATCAATGTTAGCTAACCAATTTCCTTTGAATGTCTTGCACCAATGATCACAATTTTATCAGATCTGAACTTACTCCAAGCAGTCCTACCTGGGTTGGATGTTGGTGGCTAGGCTTCATATGTTGTGGCCTAGCTTGCTATGTCTTCTCTCTGCCTATATTTGGCTTACCAAAGGAATTACCAGGTTTGTTTTCTTTAAAAATAAATTAAGAAATACTCCCATAAGGAACTAGAGTTGACATAGTTGGTTTACTAATAAATCATATCATGGTAAATAAATTATTACTTCTATTCTCTTTATTTATATTTTCTTATGTATAACTTTTCATCTCTAATATATATAATTTTAGGTAAACATAACATGATGTGGAAAGATACATACATACATACATACATACATACATACATACATACATACATACATACATACATACATACATACATACATACATACATACATACATACACACATATATATATATATATATATATATATATATATATATATATATATATATATATATATATGTATGTATGTATCTTTGCACATAATGGATAAATAATGGATATATATATATATATATCCATTATTTATCCATTATATATTTATCCATTTATCCAATATATATATATATATATATATATATATATATATTATATATATATATATATATATATATATATATAATTTTATCTATTTTTTTTATTTCATTTTTGAATGAAATGTGGTCTTTGATGTTTATAGCAAAATGAAAAATTAAATTCCTTATTATTTGAATATATATTATTTTATAATAAGCTACAAGATAAGATGTGAGTAATGAAAATGTCTTCTGGTCATGGATAGATTACGAGAAGTTAAATCCTCTTTTTCCCAAAGTTATTGGTAAAAATCTAACTCATTTTAATGAGCTGCAAAAATGTTATTGCAGGTTTTTATATTTTTCACAGAGCAACAAATCAAGAGAACAAAAAACTGAACCAGTTAATTGCAATAAGGAAGTAGTTCTTTTCTAATTCCTGAATAGAACCATTTTGACTTTATATCAATCTGGAACACTTCAGATGCTTTTAAACATCTTTGACAACTATAAACATAGCTGCCATCCAAGAAATCAGATATATCAGACATGGTAACAAAAGAAAAGGAAATTATATCCAATATTACAGCTGTGATGACTGCCTCCATACTATAATTTTGTAGCTTCAAATGGGCTTTATGTTTGCAGCACATGTATAAGAAAATTCATTAGGCTATGTGGAGAAAATTTGGAGCTAATAGTAGAGTTACCACCTCAATAATTGATCATGTGCTTGCTAGCACTAAACAAAGATCATTGTTGATGGATGTGAGATCCTATAGAGAAGCAAATGTGCACTCGGACCACTATCTTGTAATTTCGTAAGTTAGAGACCAGATTTCAAAGGAAAAAAAGCTACTACTAGATACTACTCCTATATCAAGATTTAACACTTCGATACTTAAAATCGAGGAGATTCAAAAGAGGTATTCTTGTATGAATAACATTGCTCTATATTGATATTGTATTACAATTGAAAACGGTTTGAAAATTCGAATTTCCACATAAAAATCAGTTAGCTCTAGTTTCAAAGATATATTTACTTTTTGCATAATATGGAGAAATTTCCTGCTCCTGGGTTGGTAGGATTGATTTCTGTCAGTGAATCTCAGGAAACGACTAGCTGTGAATCACAGAATCATTTTTCTGACAGTTGTATACAGTGTTTACATTTCAAGTTACTCTTGAAGTGATTTTTCTTGCTTCAGAGATTCTTTCAACAATTTTGTCGTAATAACCCAGTAGTTTTGGTGAAGTTACAATGGCCAGGAAGGGTATGAATGCTCCTGACAACTTTTGTTACATTTGTGGGGAAGTAACCTTTGAATTTCAAAAATGTCCTATCACCCAGATGATCAAGATAGTATACCACAAGTATTTTGAGGTGAAGGTTGGTGACCAAGATAAACCGTGGGCCCCGAACGTCTGCTGCATCACATGTAGCATAACCTTAAGAGAATGGTTGAACAAGAAAGGTCGTTTTGCTGTTCCCATGGTGTAGAGGGAGCCTACTAATCACACTGACAACTGCTACTTTTGCATGACCCCTTCCTCTACATCATGAAATGCCTCGAATCTGAAGTGAAGTACCCTGACATTCCTTCTGCATTACAGTCTATTCCACAAGGAGACGAATTGCCTGTTTCAAGGCCTCCTGAACACTATGATTTGAATGAGGATGAGGATAATGAAGAGGAAAATACCCAAGGAAGAACCCCATCAGATGATTCTGATTTTTCTTTTGAACAATAAGAACAAATACCCCACTTGCTTGCTCAAGCTGAACTCAGTGACTTGATTCAGGACCTGGATCTGCCCAAAGGGAAAACAGAACTATTGTTTTCAAGATTGAAGCAATTCTTACAACCTGTTGTAAAGATTACAATGTACGGAAATTGTCAGAAAGACTTGATCTCCTTTTTCAAAAAGTATGAGAACCTTGTTGCCTGTTGTGATATCCCAGGTATGATGACAGCATTGAATCTCAATCACAACCCTTCTGAATGGAAGCTGTTCATAGATTCATCAAAGCTATCCCTCAAGGCAGTTCTGTAGCACAATGGCAATATACATCCCTCTATCTCTATTGGCCATGCTGTCCGCATGAAGGAAACTTACCAAAACATGAAAACCCTTCTAAAATCCATCAAATACTAGGACTTCAATAGTAAATCTGAGGAGACCTCAAAATGGTGCCAATTCTTCTAGGTATGGAACAGGGATATACTAAGTAATGTTGTTTCTTAAGTGAGTAGGACAGTCGGGACAGAGCATCTCATTACATCAGGAAAGAATGGCCTCAAAGAGAAGTCCTAACCCCTGGACAAAAAAAATGTTCTCTACAATCCTCTCGTGGGCTCTGAAAAAATCATTTAGCCTCCACCACATATAAAATTAGGACTCATAAAAAATGTTGTCAAAGGAATGGACCAATCAGGAGAGGCATTCAAGTACTTGAGAGGAAAATTTCTTCACTTAAGTGAAGCTAAGGTTAAAGAGGGTGTATTTGTTGGTCCACAAATCCGTGAGCTTCTTAATAACGAGGAATTTTTTAATATCCTTCAGGGTAAAGAAAGAGCATAAGAAGATTTACATCTTTAGTTAATGGTTTCTTGGGTAACAAAAGAGAGGACAATTATACTGTTTTAGTCCAAACCCTCCTTGAGAAGTACAGAGATCTCGGTTGTAACATGTCACTTAGGATTCACTTTCTTCACTCTCATTTGGACTTCTTTCCCGAAAATTGTACATCTATAAGTGACGAACATGGTGAGCGATTTCACAAATATATATCTTTGATGGAACGAAGATATCAAGGTTAGTGGGATGCTTCAATGCTCACAGACTACTGTTGGAAGGTTATGAGGGATTTTCCAGAACATCAGTACAATTGTCAAGCAAAGAAGAAACGTTCTAAATAAACTGTTCTGGCTAAGAGAATTTGTAATTTAATGTTTTGTGGGTGGTAAAAGTTTTTCACAAATAATAAAGCACTTTTAAAGACTAAAAAATGATCATGTAACTTCCAATAACTTAAATTTTTTATTTGATACCGGTTAAATGTATCTGCAGAATGGTAGCTAATATGAGGATTCTGACAGAAAATTCGAGTTTCTCGCACCAAAATTAGTCAAGAGAAACAGTTTTCATCAAAGACACGCAAAAAAAAAAAATTAGGGCCGTATTATTCGAAAGATTACTAAATTCCCTACAAAAAAAAAAAATTAAAATTGGACCATTATTAGCTGATATGTGGAGGTTAGGCACATGGACACACCGATTTCAATGGACCTTTTTTTGGTGATACTTTTTTAATCTATTTATTGAATAATAATACAATCAGCCACTGCTGGAGGGCTATAAGCATTAAGGCTAAAAGTTCTCATTCATACAATATATACAAATAATAAAGAAATAAATATAAATATAAGAAGTAAATAAATAATACTGATGAAGAAGGTAAATAAATAAAAAATAAAATAAAAAAATAAAATAAAATAAAATAAAATAAAATAAAAACTTCTAAACACAATCATAACTATATACAATATATACATTTGCCCAAGAATCTCCGAGCCAGGCTTTTACCTCCACACGCGGAAGGCAAAGCAAGACTCCGGAAGATCCCAGTGCCACTTTTCCAGTCGCATCACTAGTATTAGAAGCCAGTGGAGACTGAAAGAGGGCAATACAGCCACAGACGCTCAGGACATGAGTGGAGAAGCTGGCCATTGCCAGGACTCCAAAGGCATATTTACAAAAGATCTCGAGGCCACTGCCGTTTCAACCTTCGAGGGGGATGGTATGGATGCTCGGAGCTGGATAGGGATTGCGCTAGAGGATTGGGATGATGAATGAGGTTCTGGTGAAAGTTGGAGAATCTGGATGGGATGATGTCATGGACATATGGGATGTTAAGGTCATGGTGTAGGGTCTTGTTCGTGACATAATATGGAGCATTGACTATTGTTCGAAGGACTTTGGACTGGAAGGATTGGATGCGTTTGATATTTGATGATTTAGTTGTCCCCCACAGTTCAAGTCCGTAGGTCCAGATAGGTTTCAGTATGGTCTTGTAGATTAATAATTTGTTTTCTGTTGAGAGATGAGATCTTCTGTTTAGTAGTCTATATAGCTGACCAAATCGTCGGTTAAGCTCTTGTCTTTTAAGTCTCGTATGTGGGTTCCAAGTCAGTCTTTTGTCCAGAAGGAAGCCAAGGTATCGGACTGTGTCTGAGTAGGGAAGAGGAATTGAATTAAAAAGGATTGGCGGACAGGATCTGCGTCGAAGAGTGAAAGTTACATACTTGCATTTTGATTCATTAATTTTGATGCGCCAGTTGTTGCACCACTGCTCAATGAAGGAAAGGTGTCTTTGCAGGTTCTGGGACGCTATTAGAGGATCCGAGTGGGAGGATAGGATGGCAGTATCATCAGCAAATGTTGCTAGGAAGGTATCAGGACTTGAAGGGATGTCAGCGGTGAAAAAGATATAGAGAACTGGGCCCAAGACACTGCCTTGTGGAACACCAGCCTCAATTGGATAATGTTTGGAGAGTTCAGTGCCGCAGCGGACTTGAAAGGAGCGATTTGAAAGGTATGATTTGAGGACTAGGTACAAGGGTTGAGGTAAATAGGTTTTGAGCTTGAAAAGCAAGCCATCGTGCCACACCCGGTCGAAAGCTTGAGCTACGTCCAGAAAGGCACCAGTGCAATGTTGCTTGTTTTCAAGTGCAGAGGATATGTGGTCCACAACGCGAAGGCCTTGTTGGACAGTGGAGTGTCTTGAGCGGAATCCAAACTGATGGGAAGGGATATTGTGGGATTCGAGTATGGGTAGGATGCGTTTGAGAAGGATTTTCTCAAAGATTTTGGAAAGGATCGGAAGTAAGCTTATCGGTCTATAGGATGATGTATAATTAACAGGTTTACTTGGTTTAGGAAAGAGGATATTTATGGAGTGTTTCCACACCAGGGGAAAGTGGGTTGTGGGGAGGATACAGTTGAATAGATATGTAAGGAATATAATTGCTTTTTTGGGAAGTTGTCTGAGGATCTGGGAAGTAAGGAGATCGTGTCCTGGAGATTTGCGAGGTTTTAGGTTCTTTAAAAGGAATTTGACCTCTGAGGGGTTGACGGCTGTAGGAGGTAAGGAGAGAGGAATCGATGAAGAGAGGAATTCTTTAACTTCAGCAGTATGGGAGGGATGGAGTTCAGGATGAGGAGTGAATGTGTACGATAGATGTTTAGCAAACTCTTCTTTTTTGTTTTTTTGTAATCAACTTATATCTAAATGGTGATACTAGGTCGAAAAAACCTAGTAGTTAGACCCATGTCCGAGGGTTCTTGCCAGTGCACCCACCCTAGGAGCTGATAAAAAAATATTTTAATTACAATTTATGTTATTAATTTTTACCTTTGCTTTGCTCCGATTTGTAGGTTATTATACATCGGAAAATAATCACTCAAGAGAAATATAGTTATTTAATAGACTAAATATTTTTCAAGGACATTACTAATCAGAAATAACTAAATTAAATTTAATCCATTAATCAAAGTAAACCATGACCTATCTCAAGATCTCTAGAGTAGACAGCTCACAAATTAAAATTAATGTAATTAATACGTTATAATTGGTTATTTAAAACTGAATACTTACTAAACTAAGAGAAAATATATAATTTACTTTCACTTTAGTTTGTTAATTATAGTTTCAGCTTAATTTGGTTTAATAAATTATTTTGTCTGAGCCAATTTTTAGTAATATTTTTAACATTGTTCTAAGAGACATCTATTCACCGAGCTTCAAGGGAAGAAATTCATACAGAACCAGTTACATTAACTTTTACAAGCATCAAAGAACTTCCACGAGCGATTTTCCAAATTCTTGAAAATTTTAAATTTTTATTCATCACTCTTGGTGGATGTTGTGAAGGTTTAATATTCTCAGGCATGGGTTCTTTTCTTACCAAGATACTTCAACAACAGTTTGGTCTAGGACCTGGAGAACAAGCAATTTTCATGTGTAAGTTTCATTAATAATTATCACAAACATTATATTTCATCAGAATTAGGATAAACATTTATTTATTACCTATTTTTTTATTGGTCAGTCATGTAATTTGATAAATATATAATAAAAAGCTTACTGTTGAATATATATATATATTCAACAGTAAGTAAATATTAAACTCATTACAATCAATTTCATGACAAGTTAACCCAGAAGTACACAACCATAGGCAAGTAAGCCACAATGTCATGCAAGAGGTTTTTAATTGGCATGTGGCTGGCAAGTAGATTTTTAAATTCATTTATTTGATTTTTACCCATAATTTTAAGGATAATTAGCAAAATTACATTGAATTATATTGCATTGTAAAATTTAATTTTCGTTAAAAACTCCATCAGGTTTGACAAAGCTTCTTCTGTGTTCTCTACTATCTCTTTAAAGTTGAATTTCATATCAATGTGACTGCTGACAGTTTGAATTTTATGAAATTTTGGGGATTCTGCCTGGATAAGTTTTACTGCAATATTCACAGGTCAAAGTCTCTAGACTTCTCAGGAGTCTACATAAAATCATTTTTCTTGAACTGGGAAAATTTGTTTCCCAATAAGTTAATATTTGCTTAATTTTTAATCCAATCAATACTCACTTCGCTCTTTATTTTGATTGTTTCTGTTTTGACATTAATCTTGTCCAATCCACAGTTTTGGTTGTAGAAGTGGTTTTTACAACAGGTTCTTCTTTTTTTCATACATTTTACACTTCTCTATCAGTGCTATGAAGTATTTTTGGTTGTCAAGTGGAATTGCAGATCTTTTATAAATGTTTTCCAAAGATGTGTCAATTTCAGGAATCATATTCAACCATCCAGGAATTAAGATATCTACAGTTGAACAAATATAGTTCCAATATAGATTAAGTTTGACTTAAAAATTATAATATTCATTCACAATTGTATTTGATCTGCAAACATTACTGAAGGAGGTAGAATTTTGGTAAACAAAGGGGTAGAGCTGGGGCACACCTCAATAAAGAGAACCCTTGGTTTTGGTATGCATTATAGAAAGGTTGGGTATCCCTGAGGAGGTGGGGTTGCCAAGCGGGTTAACGTGTGTGCACTGCAACCTGATTACCGAAGTTAAGAGAAAGCTGGGGGGAGCTTTTAACTCTGGCTTTAATCTCCTTAACTCATCCCCTGTTCTGGGAAAACTCCAAATAGCCTAAAAGGCAAGAAAAGAAAGAACAAAAAGAATTAAATAAAAATAATCATAAAGTTGACACTTCATTCATTACTATATGATGATTTCAACAGGTAATAATTGGTAGATAATTTTTATAATAGACATATTTTTTTATAATGATTGCATATATGAATAAAGTTAAAGGGCTTTATTTCTACTAGCACAGACCTCTATACAAGAAAAATAAAAATATAAATTATCATTTTTTTCAGGTATATTGACAGTTCCCAGTACATTAACAGGAATTATTGTTGGTGGATGGGTGGTTAAACATTTCCGAATGAATTTACAACATATCTTAATAATGGTTGTTACCCTCATGATTGCTACTTTACCTTGCATCTCTGCCTTATTCATAAGCTGCCCAAGTGATGATCTTGTCGGTTTCACCATACCTTATCAAACGGATAATATAGTGAAACAGCTGTAATGTATTATTTTTATCTAAATAATATTCAGTATAATAAATTATTCTAGAATCAAAAAAGTGATCTCGGTAAAAGCTTTACCTATAAAACATTTTTATTTCATCAATAATATAGTATTTCTGATCACCAGAACATAATTTCTGGTTGTATTGTGTAAAATATCAATTTCAGGTTTCACCAGGTATAGCTTATTGGTTAAAGAGATTTGAGTTTGAGGGTTTATTTTCCAGCATGGTTGTCTCTCTGGTACAGTTATATTAAACACTCTTGATTATGAAACTATAATTTAATTAGAGAACTGCAAATTAAAAAAGTTGTTGCAATATAAAATGTAATTTTATATCAATAATTCAAAACTTACGCTCCTTAGTTTTCATATAATTCTTCATTTAACAAGACTAGTAATTTTTTCTTCATAAACGCTAATACTTTACAAGAAAATAATTTGCTGTATATTATTCTAATTTAAACACTTGGCTTTTTTCAAAAACAGACCAAGGTCTTGAAAAGATATTGGTTGCTTATTGGTTAGTTAAATACTAATGAAATTTGGTTTTAAATCCTTGAATTTTGTTCATGGTCAATCACTAAATGAATATCATTAATCAAATAATAAAAAGGGGATTATTAAATAATCTCAAAATTAATGTTAGGTAATCATCATTATTCAATGGCGCCGTCAGATCTATGTCCTGCAAGAACCATAGCAGGAGAATCTTGGCCTCCTCAACAAACTTCCTTCAGCCTGACCTGTTCCTAGCTGCCTTTCTCCATTCTTCAATTCCAAAAGACTGAGGATCATCTTCCACAATCTAAAGTTTACAAAGCCTAGGTCTGTCTTCTTCCATACAGGTGTCTGACCATCATTTTAGGACACTTACAGCATTCCATTCTTCATGCACATCCAAGTCATATTTATGATAGAAATATATCTGATGTTTCATATAAGTTCTTACCCTTATTATTTGTCTTCATTTACAAGATTCCCTTTTTTAATAAAGCCATAGACTTTTTAAAGATTTTTTCAATCCCACATGCTTTAGAACCTTTCATTATGAAGTGTCGAAATCCAGTACTTTCTTTCCGATATAACAACTGGTTGCAGACTTTAATTTAACATCTTGTAGACTTTAATTTGGCAGCTCTATATATATATCTTGATTTCGAAATATTTTCATTAGCAAACAATATCGCCCATTGTAAATGTTGAACTTCTTGCCTTTGTTTTTATCTAAAATAAGAATACTGTTATTCTCAGGTAATTAAACTTTGTTAATCTTTCCAAGCCGTATTAATTACTAGTTCTGCATGGCAGCTTCTTCACACTTTTTTACATATGTTATTAAAATTATAAGGACTAAACGGGAATTAGGCAAGGCAACTGATAGAAAACTATATATCACTGTTTGAAAGCAAGGAGGTTAAGATGAACAGAGCAAGTATTATATATTACACAATAAACTAATAATGTAACATATCTTCGGCAGCATTTAAAAGTAACGAATGTGAACTTTTTAAACATTGCACTTTTGTTACTTCAACATGAAGCCAATGATATGTTAGCGAAAAACATAACAGATCAAATACACTAGAACATAAATAGAGAATCAAACATAAATAGTTATAATTTATTATATATTATAAAAAACTAACTCCTCCTAAATTTATTTTTTAGGAAAAGAAAACATTTATTGCTTAATTCAGATTGCAATAATGGCTGTGGCTGTGAAGAATCATATTTCAATCCAGTTTGTGGTATTGACAACAGAACATATTTTTCTGGATGTTTTGCAGGATGTTTAGAAATGAATATTCGTGACCAAAAAAAAGTATGAATCAGCATGACAAACTAAACTTTATTCATCATAGAACCTTTTTTTTTTTCAAGCTTCTTTGAAATATTTAATTTAATTGCATTCCATAATAATACAATAGATGCTTTCACAAACAGCTATAGGGTTAAACCTTCAAATTAAATTCTTTTTAAAACAGAATTGTATTACACATAATTTTCTCAAAAATACATACGAAGTGTGGAAGTAAATATTCTTAATTTTTCTAATAGATGGTGCTGGAAACAAAGATTGGTTCACATTCTATATCCTTTTATGTTATTTTGTTGCTATGTAAGTACCTTTCAAAATGCCATTGATGTTTAAACAATTTTGGATTAGCCTCATATTTTTCTTGTGGTAAATATGTTGAGTCTCAAGCCAAATGAAAGACATTTATGCACCAAATTGTGACAGGAGAAGAAAAATGGATACCTGCACGCAAGAACAAATTACTTTGGAAAAATGACAATACTGTAAATTAGTTGGGACCAGAAGGATGTCCCATGAGCTTCTGAAACTATTTAAAACAATTGATAGTGTTCGCAACAGTTAACAAATGATCAATTTGAACCATGCATTACTCAAAAAGTGACCAGAATGAAATACAAGAAACAGAAAAATAATTTGGCAGCACAAAACCCCACCATACACAGTGGAAGCAGTCAAGGACACTATTTCTACACTTGGTTGGGTGCTCTTGTGTCACCTCTCCTTAAAACATTTTAACGATGACGGATATGTTGGAAAATGATTTGATAAATGATCACCTCAAAGACGTACAGATTTTGTAGGATACTTGGAAGTAACACGTATTTCGAATTAACCTTTTTTTTTTTACTTTTATCACATTTTTTTAAAGAAAAAATTAAGAATTATTAATTGCTACACATGAGAGGTATCTAGTACATATGTATTAACACAAACCTACTTCAAATAAAATACTTTATTTTTGTTTTAGGAATTTTTCAACTGTAAATGTATACCTAAAGAAAAAGCAACAAAAGTCTCAGGACCAGAAGCTTACGAAGGAGCATGTAAAACATTATGTCCATCTTTTCCACTTTTTTTAGCATTAATTTTCATTTATCAAACGTTATCATTTGCTTCATTGATCCCTTCAGTTACATCAACTTTGAGGTAAGGAAAATATGCAAAATTCGAGGACTTATAAGCGATTAAGTATAATAGTATTTATTTTAATTCATGACAAAAATAACACTTTAAACTTATGACTATAATTTTTCCATTATAATCAGTTCTATTATGATTTCTTTTTAAATAGCTCCTTTTTTTCTCACATGATCTGTTTGAACAAAACATTGTAAATCCACCATCAAAAGAATAAACAGTTATACCCTTTCTGGATTTTCCAGCATATTTTGAAATATCTGGACCATGAGTAGTAGAAAAAGGATTAACTTTTGAAGTCTGTCGAAGGAAAATGACCCCATTGCTTGGTAATTATGGCGCAATCAGGCCTTGGTCCTTCAGGTTGATGGTACAAGCTTACTTGTGTTACTACACTCAGACAGTATACATATACAAAACCCTTACACTGCAGACAAAGGTCATCTATAGTTCACCTCTCCTAGGAAGTCGCCCCTAACAGGGGGTATAGGTCTGTAGGCACAAAAGTGGCAGCCCTACTAGCAGACTAGGGTATGTAGTTTAGGTTGACAGCCCCACTACCCAATTCTAAACTATTATAACATACCAAAAAAAAAAAACCTCAGATCATCCAGATAAACAGAAACAACACAGCAAATGTCTAATGTATATACTTGGTTTTTGGAATATCTTGACATTATACAAATAGATAGATTCAAACTCGATATATAAGCCATCAGACAATTCGATGGACTGAATAGATAATACTTTAGAAAAGCTGTAGTGATGCTCAACACTGCTTCAGAACTGAATTAATTTAGGAATAAAAAGGTCTAGGTTAATGACAGTCAATTCAAGAATATATGTCATAAGAATACAAAGAGCGTTCTGTAATTTCATCATTATAAGTACGCATAATCTCACAGATGGTAAAACATATTTTATGATAAATGGTAATTAATGCAGTTTCAGAACCTGTAATTAGATAAAAGATTTTTCTTAGTGATTACTTTCTTCACTAAAAGACGGCTACAAGGCAGTACAACATAGGCTATAAGCAAAGTATGTAAATGATTATTGACGGCACCGCCTTCCTTTCACTTCTTCTCGTACTCCTAACTATTCCTTAAATTAGGACTACTGTCAATCATAATCAAAAATAAGAAAATATCAGTTTTGATTGAACAGTTTATTTTTTTTTATAATAATGCCGAAATCATTATTTAAACACCCATGATATAAAACATCATACAAATAATAAGCAATCTTAATAAATTTACTTACTACTTTCATCACAATTTCCTGATAAAGATAAATCATACAAACAGGGTGGTTCATACTGATGTTCGCTCATTAGCTATGGGGGTACAATGGTTGATGGGACGTTTGCTGGGAACCATCCCAGGGCCTATAGTCTTCGGAGCTGCCATTGATGAATCTTGTGGTTATTGGTATAAACACTTAGACCAGGAAGGCAAGAAAACCTGTTTACACTACATACATGGATTGATGAGCAGGTATTTTTTTATTTTTCTAAACCAAAGTAATATTTCATTTCAGGTGTTATTAATACCAGAAATTTACTTGATAAAGTCATTTAAAATGTTACAAGAATGAACACTTAATAAATAATTAACAATATAAAATAAATGTTTAGATGTACAATTGAATTTAGTTCAAAAAAACAAATATGCAATACTGTATGAAAAAATCCATTAGCAGGAATTATACGCATGGATATTTAAAAATAAACTGCATATAATTTATAAAAAATAATAATTTTTAAAGATTATAAAAAATGTATAAGATTGTTATTTTAAATAAACATTTGATAATTTTTCTGTTGAAGATATCTTAACACAAAATTTAGTTTTATTAAATACTATTATAAATTTATTAATTTTACAGGAATCTAGCTATAGTAATATTTTCAAGCAAGATATTGGAAATAACTTTCTTTTCTATTGCTCTACACTTAGCTATGAAATCGCAGAAAAATGAAATAGAATAGTAAGTGTAAGGTAAAATTTACTGTCTAAATAAAATTATTTTACTGTTGTAATGAACCAATTTCATGTTACAGGACCAGGTAAACTTATTTTATTTACACCGTACTGCAAATTGCAAGTAGTAACTGAACTGACAGCTACAATTATGATTAAATAAAAGTTTTTTATTCCATAATGAAGTTTGTCATGCACTTATTTACTTTTATGGGATTAAACTACTTATTCCATAACCAACATAAAGAGGATTTGCTGCCAATAATTGTAACATAAAATGTATCATTAGCTAATAATATTAAATTATCAGTCATTTTAAAATTATATGTTTATTTGAGATGTTGAAGCCCCTAACACATTTAGGAAAGAAGGACTCCCCTTTTCATGTCAATATAATTTTCACTGGAACCAGATTTATATAGCTTCCCTTTTCCGTATTTTGTATTCCCCACGACCTTTTAAAGTATGTATATATTGGAGTTCTCACAACGGCCAGATTCTTTACTCAAGACATGAAGGTATGTGGCTGAAGCTCATGATCAATCTCCATTGGCTTTAGTACCAGTGATGTTTATTGAGAGTAGCACAGGGATCTCCTGCAGTTCTCCTTTTCTCTCCATAGTTGAGGAGGGAGGAGGGGAGACAAGCCTGCCTCAGAGGTCCCACGCCTGATTGTAAATAGCCTATACAGATATGTATTTTTTTTTGTTATTTTTTTCAATTTATTTATCTTTAATTTATTTTATTTTTATTTATTGTTTATACTTTTTGATTATTATTTAGTTGTTATTTCTCTTCTGTTTATTTTATATTTTGAATACTTGATGGTTGATCGTGTTATATTATTGAGTAAGATGGTCCGGGGTGGCGGTTATAAAAATACTAAAAAAAATATTTTATTTAAAGCCCTTGGACCATTTTATATTTTCTGTTCAAATGGTGTGAATTATTGTCTAAGTGACAGAATATTATACTACCCAAAAAAAAAGCTGATATCTGAAAAAAACATAAGTCAAATTCATCTTCATGATGTTCATCTTATGATTTACCATAATTTTAATTAAAGAAAGAAAGTCAATTTTATTCTGGGACATTTAGTCTGCTCAGAATAACTAAATTGTTCTTTTATGAATTTAAATTATTTTTAAAATTTTCATTTCCGAATTAAATGAAATAATAATAAAGATAATAAATTTACTAATAATAATAAAGTAAACAAATATAATCAAATCAAGGATAAGCAATGGTTTTAATATTTACTAAATTCTATCTTATTTTTACAAAATGTAAAAGAAAAATGAATTGTTGACTATTATTTTTTTATTCTTCACTCTCCTTTCGTCATGGAAAAAATAATAAAAGAAAGAGATTTGACATCTCTAAGATGTTATTGGTAAAAATATATAGATTATTTGAAGAAGTTTCAAATAATTTTGTTTTTATTAGACAAAGAGTTTAGGTGTATTTGATTCATAAGTTACTAGTTGTAAATTGTTAAGCTTTTCTCCCATATTTTAGTAATTTAGTAGTAGATATATGTTGGTATAAATAGTATGTGATATTATAAAATCATTAGTTTCTAAAACCGCTCTATAATAACATATATAAGTAGTATTTACTGGCAGGGCACTGTGAGTTTTCCCATGGATACCTCCTGCGGGTTAGAAGCTCCAACTTGCATACATTGCCTAGTATCCAGAACAGTAAAGTATATATTATTAGAATGTAGAAGGTATATGGAAAAAAATTCAAATGGGAACGGAAATGAAAGAAATTCTGCAAGATGAAGAAAATTAAATAGGAAAACGTTCAAATATTTAAAGGATATTCACTTTTATCAACAAATATAAAATGGAAACATTAAGCCAATGACCCTTAGGGATAGAGGCTAAGTAAAAAAAAAAAAAAAAAAGTACTACGTATGTTCTTCAATATTATAATATATGTTGAATGTTCTATAGGTGAACAAAAAAAAATAGAAAAACAATGATATCTATTGGTCCTGATTTTCACCATTCTTCTAACTAATTTAAAAAAAAAATCATTCAATTAATAACACTTCTACTAATGAGTAAAATGCATGTTATTTTGCAATGATTGAAATGAACCAACCATTTCAATTTTTAATGTACCATAAGCATCAGTTTTTTTTTATTTTGTTATTTTTTAACACTTATTGTTATTTTCTCATATTCTTAAATCAATAGAATGGAGTATGGATATAAGATAGAAATAACTAGGTATGATATCATAAAATAATACTTTTTTTATATTTATAACATATTATATGTATAACAAGTCATAACTTAAAAACAAAAAAGAGGAGGATCTGCAAAATTTAAAATATTGCAACAGTAACAGATATTCATTTCCCTATGAAAGATTCTGTTCAAACCAGTCAATTTCCCTCATTAACCTTTTCTCCAGTCTACCTACTTGCTGACCACTGATATCTCTTTATCCCTATTTTTCAACATTTCAGTGTAGAGTTTAATAATCAGTGGATGAGAAAACCTATTGGAGGTTGAATCAATGAATTCTTGTAACCTACCAGGAGATTCTTCCTTTTTCTCATACTCATAGGCCTGTAAAGCCATATCAAATAAATCCAATTCTTTAATTAATTTAGCTTCTTTAGTCTTTTGTTCTTCAAACTCCTAAAACATTTCAAAGTAAAGGTTCAGTTTAAGTGTATGAAATGCAAACTTTACAACCAATTTTAGACTCAATCTTATTATTTAACATTTTCCGTCTGTAGGCATAAGATTTTACCTTTCTTTACATCTAATAATTTACAGGTAGTTTACCTGTTAACCAATCTAACCAGTAAAAAAAACTTATGAATAATTAAAAGAATAAATGTGATTAAAACTAATGGATGTCAACTTAATATTAATGGTTTTTACCAGATTCTAATATTAATTGAACAGGCTATATAAATTAATAATATTAATTTTGGTTGATAATTTTGAATCTTAACAACATATATTATTCACATTTAATATTTCAAATAATATAATTAAAATAAATATAAGTTTACATCCAAAACTCATAACTTACAAGAAACAGAGTATTTATGTAATCACCATTTTTTCCAACAAGATCACCAATCTCTTTCATAGCTTCACATTCCTTTTTATATTTTTCTTCACGTGAAATACCACAATATGGGGTATAATCACCGATTATACTTTCAGCTAAATCATGAACTAGTGCCATTTCCATGCACCTATTTGAGAAATACACAAAAAATAAATAAATTGAAAAGGAATCAAGAGAAAAATGCTAAATAAGTGTGATTTGAAGAAGCAAGGTTGTAATTATGAGAGGAAATATGTAAACTTGACGAACAGAAATGAGTAAAATGAAAGAGAATCATTCTAAAACTGGTTTGATCAAATTATAGCTGCTACTTAACAATATATTGTTAAATTAAAAAAAAAATGAAATGTCTGTGATGAGGATCACAGTGCTGGCAAATAATAGAAAGAATTCAGAGACTAAAATTGAACTGGAATAAAAAAAATACAAGGGTTAAGTCAAGAAAGAACAAGTGCAGTAAAAAAAAATTGGTACTACATCACATAAGATGGATCAGGGCAAGCTCAGAGAGTAAGGCATTGTACTCCAATCTTGTGGCACCAGGTTCTAGTTCGCACACAATCTCTATGCCTCTATAAGTTAGATACCCTTAATCAGAGGAAATCCTGGTGGTTGAGAATAATTTCAACCAAATTGCCTCCTAGTACAGACTTTTTTTTTTTTTTTTTGCAATCCCCTTATCATTGAAATGGAGTTTTTCTTTGGGTGGGGATTAATGCCACAATTAAAAGGACACTCCTCCCGGCAAAAAGAGGGGAACTCATAATTATTTTATCATCTAATCATCACTTTATCAGGGCGACATTTGTTTTTGAATTAGCCTGGTCTCCTCCTTATACAACCATTGGTCTACAAACTCTACATCCTTACAAAGTACTGGACCTAAGAACCTTCGTGCCGGTGGAGAGGTGATCCATTAATCACACCTCACTGTACATAAAATGCTGAAAATTGAGTCCAGAATTAATGATTAATAACCCCTACTTAGTAAACCTCAACTGTAAAGCATCCCTAAAGTATTCACTTACATCATGAGTGAATGGATGTCAGAGTCATGATTTAATTAAAGCTGAAATGATTTCAATAACCAATTTTAATCATAATTAACCTCCATAAAAGGTGATTATTCTGAGCAACCTTACTTTATCTAACCGAGGAAAGTTTCGGCATTTGATGTGCAATCAGATCTGATTATTAGAGATACTAAGTCATGCTGGGGTAGCTTGGCTTGTGTGATGTATTGCCAAATTTGTGTTTTTAGAAAAGAACTTCTAAAAATCAATATATCTAATATTGTCTAACATTAATCTAGTCCATTAAAATCTTATAAGTTCAGTGTGATTAAACCTCGTTACAGTATTACACATAAAAATATATAAATTATTTCAAACTTATACTGACAAACAAAGAGATTACAAACATCGATTATTATAGTCACTAGGCTATTATTTTTAAAACATTAAAAAAAGCTATAAACTGTGTTTTTGAACATACCTACTTTTTTCAATATCATTATCTTCGATCAAAAACATCATCATAGCCATTCTGTACATGTGTCCAGCAACAGTTTCTGGGTCTTTAACATTTCTAAGCACCCAACCAGTTCTTGGTAAATGCTGTTAGGCAAGAAGGAATACTATTAATCACTCAAAAGAATTTCAGAAAAGTAAAAATATAAAGAATAATATTAAGTGAAACCTTAAGTTTTCCAACTAATTCCAAAAATTTTATTTTATTAGAAATGTCTAAATCCATTGTAACAAACGGTTGTCAACAGGTTGTAACAGTAATGTAAGTTTATTTTACATTTATCGATAGCCTGGACCAAAGAGCTTATAACTAATAAACCATTTAGGTTATTCAACTTTTAGTGTATTCAAAAATATAATAGAAAAAAAAGTTGTAAGCTAAATGTTGTTTTCAGCAATACAATGATATAAAAAAGTATTAATATTTAATTCAAAAGGTATTTAATTTTATAATACAAAATATAGTTATATAGAAAGTTTCTTTATTCAGCACGGAGTTGATCGATGACATTCTACATCGATCAGACCGCTTCTAAGCTCATGAATGGAAACCAGTGTATCTCATTATTCATCGAATAAAGTTTTATGCCTCGAAAAGATCGAATAGGAGATTTTTCTTCAAGCCCAAGAAAAAAAGTAAAACGTCAGTAATGAGATTACCATGTGAGACCGTGACAAGTATATTAAATCAAATTGTCTCCCTGAAATCCTTCAGATTTTCATTTTTATCTATGATTTCTCCCTTCATTGTTCAGTGCTTCTTTGGAACCTCACGAAAATGGTCACAGACCCGATTATTCCACCTTAAATAAAATTATCAGCGGTAATCAGTAGGCTATACATGTCTTTTTTGACTTTTTATGCCATTCAACCGCTTTTTCCAAATCAAAATCGTTATCCTAAGTTAACCAAGAGATTTACCTTTTGAAGATTTGCAGCCATATTTGTCGATTTCAAAGCAACCTATTATTCCGTAAATAGAAAATCTTTGAAAGATCATGACTGAGCTTGGCATTTCAAGGTGAGAATGACGAAGATATTGTACACGACATGATACAAGGAGAAGCCTTCGAAATTCGAGCTGTTCTGCGGCAGGGAGATAAATTCTCGCCCAAGCTGTTATAGCTCGGACTCAACAATAACCAATGGTCATATATTATAGTATAATAAGCGGAAACAAAGCTTTATTTCTCTTTTTCAAAGGTATTGGAGTACTGACAAATATCTGGAAATCTCAAATTAAAAGGGTACAAAGCAATGATAAATCCAGTTGTGATAATTTGCTGGAATTTCTGACACAAACCAGCACCGTAGAAAGAAATATTAAATATTTAAGAGAGAAATCCTCCACACAACAACCGCTGCTTTTTTTGAGGTACTAACGAATAAATGAGAAGAAATAGGTACAGAATAATTTTTACTTTCTATTTTCGATAAGCCACTATTTCATTTAGGAGCGAGAACAATTGAAATTTCAAGGCAACTAAGCGGTCGAGATAACGGGTGTGCCCAGTATTGCGTTCGCCGGCAGTCTGATGAAAGGTAATTTGATCGAATAATCAAATACCTAGTTCACGTTCATTTGCCGGGAGAGGTCTTTTCACTCGGGTATTAAAACAATTTGGATTTATAAACCAGTATAAAAATTAAAAGATGAAAATTTGCCTCGCTAACCTTATGCCGGTCCAATTTTTGATTTCTGAAACCTTTTAATCCAAATGCAAAAACACTTCAATTAGACGACTTTACCCGCATGAGCGTTATACATTGAAGCATGAGGCTCAGTCTCACACACTACCCATATAAAAAAGTATAAAGCGTGCCTAAGGAAGTTGTAAATAAAAAAAAAATTCAACTAGTATATGATCGTCGTACCAGCACTTCCTAAGTATAATTCAAATTTAGTTAAGTTGTTTGGTTTTAGTAGGTATCCTATTTTGTTAGAGCACTCTGGCTGTTCGCAGAGATGAACATAAATGCAGATTGAACATACCCGATGAAGAAAGAATAAGGTAAAAACGTCCCGTGTCACATCAGTAAGGTTTCATTTGTATTGGAACAGATTTTTTGAAATTCTTGACAAAAAATATTTTTTCCTGGTCTTAAGCAACGATTTGTTCTAGATATAATAGTAATAAAATATTACAAATGTAATGCAATAGTTTTGCTTAATAACCTTAAACCTTCTTTATAACCTTTATTGAATTCTAAAAAATATTTCTAATCTTGCTTTACTAATTGGAGGAAGAGGAAAGAAACGTAAGCTCGATTTCATGAATTAACATTATTGACAAACTTCTTATTTGGTTGAATCCTTTGAGATAACGACGAGACAAAGCAAATAACACAGCTGTATACTAACATAATTGCTAATGAATATTTTGTGGCTATTTAAATTTGTTGTTATCATATATTAGAAATATAGGGTTAAAATGTATTTTAAAGTCACCTACATGGATAAAGTTGCTGCATACACTTAACAAACATTGATTAACTCACAAATGCTTGCTGAAAAAGGTAAAAAAAAAAGCAATAAATAAAAATAAGTACGATTGGTAGTTAATATAATTAATTACTAGATTCCAATTTATCCTTTGAAGAACCAGAGCCAAGTAGTTCTACCCTGAAGCAAGGAAGATGTGGATGGCTAGGTTACAAACCTGATTACTTACAAAAATTTTTATCCTCGAAATGGGCTTTGACATTTTGTTGTCCTGGACCTTTCTTGCAAGGTGAGCCTTTATACATTTGTTACTCACCTCATATAAATACTGCTACATTTTATTCAACTATCAATTTTCATGTAATAGTTCTCTCTGACTATTAGATTACATAACTATATATAACAAATGAAAAGTAAGTAGGCTATAGGGAGGTTGTAAAATATGATACTGCTCAATTTTTCTTCCCTTTCAGGGGTGCCCACCCTCCCTCCAGGTCCTCCACTCATCTTCCTAAGATATTTTATTTTCCTTCTCTTCTTAGAACAGTACCAGCAAGTTAAGATACAATTTTAAAATAAAAATCATAGGTCTTATACAATTACACTTTCAGTGGTCTCAACTTTCCTCTTGTCCACTGGTTTGAAACATTTCAATCCGAAAATTCATAATCCCGTCGAAATATGGCCCTCTCCCCTCCCTCAAAAATTCAAAACCTCGTCAAAATGTGTCCCTCTCAAAACTTTTGATGGCTCAACTTGCAAAATGAAACCTCCTTCTGGGGCACTCCTGCTCCCTTCAAGAAATCAGACCATAGTCGGACATTTCCCTCTCCCTAGTCGAAAGACATAAATGTTTCTTCGTTTCTAATTCTTCATTTTCATGTTCTTGTTCCGGATCTCTTCAAGTAAAAGCGGTATCCTAAAATGATGTATCCTTACCCAATGCATGATTCCAATCAAAACAGAATGGACCAAATCACAAAGCAGTGAGTAAAGTTCGTTATGTTGGATTGAGTCTCCAGTCTCTTGAGAAGGCGTCCGTGACAAGATTATCTTTTTTTTGGGAGGCCCCCACTGAAATGCCTCATTTTTAATTCTATTCTAATGTTTTAAATCAAACATAAAAAAATGTGAGGTGCTGGTGAGTAATTATACCGCCCTAATAGAAAATATCTCCATTTCTCCTATTAGGAAACGATGACATATGATGTTTTTGGGATAAGAATGCTACGGCGGGAGTGCACCTCTGAGATTGAGAAGTCGGAGGCCTACATTTGGACAAATAGTGGTTCTTTATCGTAAATGGTGTCCATCATTAATTAAGATATCTCTTTTCTCAATCCAAAATCGAACTGTGGCACAATGAAATTTTAAAGTCTGAAAAATTTCGAACTTAGGTGTATACTTTGAATTTTTAAAACTTGAATATTGGATGAAAACTCCAATGGTTCTTTGAATTTCTTTTTAATTGCAATTTAAACCTTTTTTTAATTAAGAGGTGGCAGGCTTAGGTGAGGTTCCAAAACATTTTGGATGAATTTAGTCTTAAACTTGATCATATGAAGGCTTGTCCAGGCTAACGTTTTTAAAAACCAGAGGACAGTATTGCCAGTTTTAATTATTTATTTTTTAGTAACTCTAGCACATGATCAAGTTATTAAGATAGATTGGTAAATACAGCCAGTGACTAACCTATTTTAAAAACCTTACTGGTTCTAGGTTTTATGAGTTTTTCATCGCAGAATTATCACTACATACACATTTTCTAGTGCTTTTTGGCATTTTTTTTTAGTGTTTTCTTTTTTTTAAATGTCCAATAGGCATGCTCATCACAGGCCTGCTCCATTTCTTCATTCCTCATCTGGAGCGCCAGTTCGACTTAACCTCTATGCAGAGTGGTCTGATATCCAGCGCCTACGATATGGCAGCAACCGTCTGCTTGATACCATTGGCAACAATCGGAGGACGTAGCGGTTCCAACAGACCCAGGTATATTGGTACTGGATTGATCATCGTCGGTACAGGCGCGCTTATATTTTCATCGCCGGCTTTCTTTGTTGGGCCTTACAACAACGTACTCCTCCATGATCTTTGTATTGAAGACCAGGAAGTGAAAAATGTACGTATGTATACGTTTAATAAATTCTATTGATTCAGATACTTCTTAAAAATTCTAAAATACTATTAAATATTTTAAAACTTCACCTCATTACTGGAACTATATTTAGATCAGTTATTCAGAAATAGCACATATTCGTTTTGAAGATTTTGAGATAAACGCCAAACATGAGCATGCCTATCGGAAATTAAAATAATAATATATATAATATATATATATATATATATATATATATATATATTTGTGTGTGTATTTTATGGGGCTGGGGTAGCCATGCGGGCTAAGGCGCTTGCAATAGGTAACCAAATTAAGTAACGGACCGATTAGGGTGGCCGTCCACCAGGGGAAGCCACTCTGCCCGAGACCCCTTCCCCGGGTATGTGAGGCCCGTCAGCTTTACTGGAGGCAACTCACACCGACCGGGCGTAGGACTGATGACCCTACCCTCGTGTACTTAAATCACGAATCGGGATGCGGCCTAGGAGACCACATCTCGCGGTCAAAGATCTGCACGGTCTGTAGCGCCAACCGAAAAGAAATTTTTTTAAAATGATTTTTATTAAGGATTTTCCCACTAATGTGGTTGTCCTTGACCTAAATATTCTTTAAGATATTTTTGCTCTTTTTCTCTTTCCAAGGCTTGTTTCTTCCCTGATGCCCATTACCCGCCAGGCTTTCTTCCACTGCGTCTTTCCATTTTATCCTTGGTCTCCCCCTTTACCTTCTCCCTTCTACTTCCAGCTCCATACATATCTTTGGCAATTTTCAGCCATCATTCTTTTCACATATCCAAACAAGCATAACCTTTTCTTTTCAATATTTGCTATAATGTTTGTTTCCACACTATTTCACGAATTCTTTCATTTTTGATTCTTTCCCTTCTGGATTTTCTTGCTGCCCTTCTCCAAAAGTCCATCTCTACTGCTAACAGTCTTTTTCGGTGACTTACATGTATGAACTATGTCTCTCAGGCATATGTCGTTATTGGCTCGAATATAGATAGCCTTGTATATCAGGCTATTTTTACGGGACTGTGCACTAGCGGATCCAGGATTTAATTTTGGGGGAGGGGGGGCTTCAGCCCGAAACCTTTTTTTTTCATAAAAATAACGATAATTACTTTAGAAAAAAAGATAGAAACTAACTACCTATATGAAATGGTGTTTAAGTTATTCCTTAAGTACTTTTAAATGTAATTACACGAACAATAATACTTTAAGAGGTATTTTTTAAATTTTTTTTCCCATAAAACATGGTTATATTTTTCGATTTTGGGGGGGGCTTCAGCTCGAAAGCCCCCCTCCCCCCCCGTAGATCCGCCCGTGGGACTGTGTATTCGAGCTCAAAAGGATACTGTTGGGTATTGTTGTGACCTTTCTTTTTCACCAATTCTTCTGTCGATATCATTGGTGGATGTGCCTTCTCTATTAAATATTGATTCTAGGCATTTACATTTCTCTACAGTTTTTATATCTCTTTCAACTAACGTGTCATCAGATGAAGTACCAAGGTGTTCTGTTTTCATGAAGTTAATAGGCTTCCCCAAATTTTCGTAACTCTCACAGCCTTTCTGAACGTATAATTGATGTCCTCTCTATCCTGGGCCATGATTACTTGGTCATCAGCAAACATTAGATAGACATTTTCTTTTCCACTCTCTGATAGTAACATAAACATAAATTTTAAAAAGGATAGGCGAAAGGCAGCTTCCCTGCAAAAGTTTATTTCTTAATGATATTTACAACTGCACTAAAGAAATACATCTTGCAAATTTGTACAAATGCATAATGACGTGAAAACACTTGTTGAGAAACTACCATATGGTAGCATTCTAATAATATTTCAACATTATGAGATCACAGGGCCATCTTCTTTTCAGACGCCTCGGAGAATTATACGGAATTGAAGAGGAAGCAAGGTTAGAAACGAGAGGGTTGGGATGGTTCTGAAGTTTATTATGGAAGGATAGGTATCTGGATTGGACCCAAATCTGAAACATAAGGAACATTAAGGTCATCATGGATGATTTTATTTGTAATATAGTAGAGAGCATTGAGGATTTTACGTAGGATATTGGATTGTAAGGATTTTATACGAGAGGAATTCGATGGTTTAGTAGAGCTGCATGCTCAACTCCGTAAATCCAAATAGGGCCAGTGCTATGTTCCTGGCCTCGCGTTTCTACGGCGAGTAAGGGGTTCCAGGAATCGCATTTATTCGTATTAAAATGTATTTAATACTTATATTTGTATTGAAATGTTAGATACCACAGACCCCCTACTGTAGTATCCTAGATTGAACCATATACTCTTTATTGGATTTCCTTTCTAAAGGTATCATGTTTATAAATGTACTATTTGTTTCTATTACTAATTGGTGGCATGCAAGGTAGAATGTAAAAGTACTACGTTGGTTTACTAACTATTATATTTACAAGCTTAAATAAAACCAAAAACATCTATATACAAAATAATAACTAAACCTATATACATAATGAATAGTTAAGAACCATACGAGAGGAGAATGCTTGATATTTGATTATATTAATTAATGGTTTATGGTTGCCAACACAAATTTACATTAGTATAACTAAATGCTTGTTACCACTTAGCTGGTCCTTCATAGTGTTTCTTGGCTGTTATATCTGGATTCCCTGTCTCTGCTCTCCTTCAGCGTCTAGTCCGTCCATCTGCTCTCTCCGGCTGTCTTCGTCTTCCTCCCTCGACTCCCCCGCTTGAAGTCCCAAGAGCAAGTCCTCTCCTCTCCGAGTCCCAAGAAGAAGTGTCCAGTCCAAATTCTCGATTTCCCACCTTTTTTCATCCCCCTCTCTTTTGGCAGTCTTTTTCCTGATTGGCTGAATATTCTCAGCCTAAGGGATGACCACGCCCTCTCCCCCAGGCCAAGGTAAAGCAGCAGGTACAGATTTCCATATTTCTGGTGGAAGGTGTGAAAAGGTCTTTTGGGATCCTTTTTAAACACTTAGTTGTCGGTCTTTGTCGGTGGTCCTTAAGGGTTTTTTATTACCACTTACAAAAGGTTGTCTTAATGGGTTACCCTCAGTCAGGTACCGCCAGATGTGGCCACTTATTTTTATTTATACATTTAAAATAATTATTACACCGGCGGTCTTTACGATACATAGCACCAGACCCCCCTACCGTGCAACCATCCCCCCATATCCCTATAAATTGCATATCATTGTGTTCTTTGTAATTATTTAAAAAAAAAGCAGATGTTTCCACTAAAAAAGTGAACGAACTGCCCCAAAATGGCGTCCAAACATGGCCAACTGATAAATTTGACATTAGTTAGTTTTCCGGTCACTGAGAATCAGCATTTGGCTTAATTTCGTCATAGTTGGTCTTCTATTAAAACTGGGTAGTCAGAAAATAATAAAACATGAACAAATATTACAAAATAATTGGCTTAGGCAATAAAAAACACCAATTTGAAAATCAAGCGTCGTTTGTAATTAAATGGCCAACTATAATGCAAAACATGCTAATATAAAACATCTAGGGAATATATTTCTCTTTATAAAACACTGATTACTTTTTAAAAAAGTTTTTTTTTTTTTTTTAAACAGTTTCGTAGAAAATGAACTTAAGCGGCAGAAAAGCTGTACTGGCGTAGGTGCCTACAGGATTCTACCACACCATTCAGTACTCATGAATGGCTTAGCTATAGAGCTTTAATAATGTTTACGGTACATTATATTGACCGTATTAACATACAAATATTAACATTTAATTAATAATAAATTAAATATTATAATTGTCCGAAAAAATTAAACAATTTATTTATTTTTTAATTTAACTTCCTTTATACGGTGGTCGTTTAAGAAGGACTCTATTGTACAAATGATATAATTATAATAATAAAACGTAATTAAAAAATGCTTTGCTGAATATCTTGATTTTTTTATTTAACGTTTGCAATTTAACGCTTCGTTTAGTATTTTTACTGATTCTAAGAGGTAATTTAAATTGTATATACTTCCCCGAAAATGAGTCATATTAATACCTGTTTTATTAATACCTAGTCTGAACTAAATATAATGACTAGTTGCCGCGTTGTTTAGTAAAACATAAATCACTAATAAAAAAATAATTTTTATTTCCTTTATATTGTTCGGAAGTTGGACTATTTCATAAAAAAATAAGAAATTTTTATATTGAATACATTATTCTCTCTGCACAAAGAAAAATGGAAGCCATAAGTTCTTTTAGATAACCGGAACTGATTGTTATTATTTGATTTCAAGGTGAGAGAAATCGCGAAATTGAACCCAAAAATTTGAAAAATACATCAAACAAACGAGAAAGAATGTGCCAAAAACTCGGAAAAGAAAACAAGGATCATTATCTATTATATTGCTAAACGAATATATAGTAGACAGGTGAACAGAATATTTATGGAATCCAAATTGGTGATCTGGGATTGTGATTAGAATTTAGGATGGAGTGCAGGCGTTATTAGAGTTTTTGTAGGATTTTGCCCATGATGGGTAAAAGAGAGATAGGACTGTAAGAGGATGGGTATTCTGGTGGCTTTTTGGGTTTGAGGATCATTTTGACAATAGATCGTTTCCAAGGATCAGGAAAATATCTGGAACGGAGTACAGCATTATATATGTAAGTAAGGAATAGGATGACTTTTCAAGGAACAATTTTTAAGATCTGAGATATAATTAGGTCATGTCCAGGGGCTTTGCCGAAGGGTAATTTTTGAATGATGTTCAATATTTCTGTGGGATGAAATGCTTTCTAATGCTATGAGAGGAATATCCAGTTCTGCTTCAATACAATCGATGTGAGATGAATTAAGGATGTCAGAATATGGGTTAAAAGTTTGGAAAAGATGTTGACCAAATATTTGTGATTTTTCTTCGTCGGATTTGGACCAGGTTTGGGAATCAGTAAGTAGTGGGTGATTAAAGTCTTGAAAGTTTATTAGTCAATTCGCTATAGTGTGTTTCTCTTCAAAGATATCTAGTCCTGTGCCACTTCGATCTTGCTCTGCGTTTTTTTCTTAATAAGATTCGAATATGCTGTGGTAAGTTAATATGTCGTGGTAAGTTAATATGTCGTGAGTTATTGCTTTTATTGATGGAAGTGTTATCATTTATAGTGGTTGTTATTGATGTGGTAAGTTTTTCTATGGCTTTGTTCAATATCTTGTTTTGTCTTAAGCGGAATTGTTAAATCCAGTTTATTTTCCACATCATCACGAAATTCGTCCCAGTCTACTTGTTATGTGATCAATTTAGGAGTTGAGGGTTTAGGAGCAAAATTTAAATGTAGTGAAAGCAGAACTGGATTATGATCTGAAGAAAGGTCATCCTGGGATTGGATAATGGCTTGGGAGGAGGAAATCTGGTAGGTGATAAATATATCCAGGATATCGGGACGTTTTTTGAGGGATGTTGGCCAATAAGTAGGATTCATGGGCAAGAGGATGGAATAATTGTTGGAAGAATAAACACGTGAAAGGATATTACCACGAGAGTTGTATGTTCGACAACCCTATCATTGGTGTTTAGCATTGTAGTCTCCGCCAGCACTAAAGCTCGATCCGAAAGATGTAATAAGGATTCAAGTAGGCTATAAGAGAGGTTATTGCCAGGAGGATAGTATAAAGCTGAAAGTGTTAGTTGGAAAGAACGAGTTGAATGGGTTACAGAAGTTGACTAAATGGCATCTGTTGGAATGGAAGGAATAAGGGAATGGGGTAAAGACATGTGTATAAGGATGCAAGAACCGGCGTGGGCAGTATTGTCTGGGTGGTCAGATCTATAGATGATGTTGTCACGTATGTAGAAATATGTCCGTTGGGTGAAGTAAGTTCCTGGCAGGAGGGCAATGTCAATATAATTGTCATTAAGGAATATATCTAGTTCGTCACGGTGGTTTTGCGGTCCATTAGCGTTCCATAAGAGGATAGCTAGGGGCTTTGTGTTCATCGAGGGAAGTTAAGCAGAATTTTGGAAAGGGGTCTAGTGAGAATAGTCTGTTGAAGATCTATCAGGAATGACGATAGGATAGAGTTGATATCGGATGTTGTTTGACTGGGAAGTGGATTTGATGGGTCAGGAGGTTGTGATGGGTAATTTATGCGACTAGAATTGTTGGGCGGAGGATGAGCCCGATGTGGGGTACGAAGAGATGGATCTAAATTCTGTTATACTTGTGGTGGGGTTCAGAAAGACCCTAGTTTAGCACAGCAGGTATTATTGTGGTAAATTTCTTTTACAATGGTTATTATGGGCTCTGAGATATTTGGTTTCGCGAGAACTTTCCACAATAGCTTCCTAAAGGAACTGAGTCACACACACAGACACAGACACACAAACAAACACACACACACACACACACCTCAGGTTCAGTCCATGGACGGTCTGTTTCGGGGAAAGAAATATAGGTCCTCGTGCGCCTGCTGACTCCGAGCAGCCATAATCCATGGATCTAGACCGATTTGTCACTGTCCTTGAACCCGAGTGAGTCGGTGGGAAGGACATTGCCAGATTGGCCCCAAAGGGATCGGCTATGGAGCTACGGGTGGCCTGCCGCTGCACCATGGAGACCATGGTTCGTAGCAACGTGAGGTTGGGTGACCCCTCCAGGCTATCTGAGCTCCCGCAAGCAACATACGTCTGTAAGGAGACCACATCTCGCGGCCAAAGATCTTCATGGTCTGTAGTGCCAACCGAAAGAATACAACATATATATATATATATATATATATATATATATATATATATATATATATATATATATATATATATATGTTGTAATGAAATTAGAGGTAAGAGGAAGTAGAGAACGAACATTTTGTTTATATTAGATCGAATTTATTATCAAAAATTTGTAAAACATTAGTAAGTAACGAACTTCATAAAGGTAAAAAAATGACCTGTAATAGATAAGTTGAAAAAGTGATGAAACTGATGTTCGAAAACTAAAATTAAGTTTTTAACTATTACGATTTCAGGAGCATCCCCCAGCGCAAAATATAGGATGGATACTCTTCTTGGGCAACTTATTACAAGGAGCAGGATCCACACCAATCTACAGCATTGCCGTGACGTACATAGATGACTGCTTTCCCCTCCATTCATCGTCATTTTATATGGGTAAATTTCTGTTAATATTTTTCTCCTGAAACTTCTGTTAACATAATATAACTCTAGGCATTAATGATACAGTTGTAAATTTCATTTAAAAAAGAATAAAGGCATTAATGAAGCGTTTGTCAAATCATTTTTTTTCAAAACTTCTTTAAACGTTTGCCACCATTGTTCGTATTGGAATAGTAAAATAATTTGTAGGTGACAGTCTTTAGAAGAATACATCGTTTCATTGATAAGCATTTAAATATTATTTAGCCTTGGAAGGACCATGTTATAGATAGTCCCAGTTGTTGTATTCTAGAGTTGGTTACTATAATTTGTTTGGTACACCACCGTTAATATTATCGAGGAAAGGACGATGGTTCAGGTCTTCTTCAACACAATTATAGACTCAATATTTCCCAACCAATTAAAATCTCAGATGTACCCAAGGTAACTAACTACAAGGCAAAAGAAATTTATATGTTTCCAACAGAGAAACAAGCGGCAATTTTAAAAGAATTTACTTATAAAATACTATTTGTCAGGTGCAACTATGGAGTCAATTCCATTCTGAAGATCTTGTGGATATTAAGTAGAAAAACGCTATACAAAATAATAATAAGAAAACAGGAAAAACGATAGTTTCTAAGAGTTGACTAACATAAGAACTTTTCCTTTTGGAAGATTTCTTCATCGACATCGAAATTATTCGGGCCTTTCTCTGAACAGCTAAGGTAGAACATTTTAATTTTATTTGCACCATGATTCTAATTTTTCAAATTCATTTCATGTCAGATGTCTTTTTAAAACTGGTCTTGGCCTTTTAGTGGTCTTATTCGTTCTCAAGAAACCCCAGGTTAAGGTTAAACAGCCCAACAATTGCCTTACAGTTGTGGATGAATTTCTAGAGCTGTAAGAATGAATTTTTACGAACGTAGGTAACCTCTCTTCGTTGAATACAATGGTTCTCCCCACTATAACTCGAGAAATTTGAAATATGTACTGCATATTTCACATACATTGCACATGCGGCATGGCGGGGGGACTGCCACTGTTCTCTCCAAGGCTACGAAGGCTGATCTCAAGCCCATTGACGAAGCCAAAATCATCAAGTCCAGTGACGAATTATGAAGCCTAACAGTCTGGGAGAAACTTCATTGCCTTTAGCAGTTGTTCAATTGAAAATCACTAGTTTAGGATTATTCCCTTTCGGAGAAAACACACAGCGTCTGCTTCGTCCTTCCAATTTATCTTCCTATATTATGTTTTTTCCGATAATAATCAGATTTATTAGAATTATTGTTTTTATTCTGTATTCAATTCAAGCTAAATTATTCTATTTATAATTTTTTTTGTATTCAAGGACCTTTATATTTAGTAATACTTAAACCATTTTACTCGCTCTTTATCTTAGTTGTAGAACATAAGGACGTTAAGCCCAAATAAATAAGACATTTAATTTTTATAAGTCACCAATCCAATATTTTCTTCAAAGGTATTTACTACACAATGGCTGTCCTAGGGCCGCTTGTTGGAATCGGAATAGCAGGTGGTCTGTCTCTTGTCAGCGTCAACTTCCTCAAGAGCTCGTTTCCCGTGTAAGAACCAACTCTTCTTCTTTTAGTCCACTTAAATTAAAAGCTCTGTTGACGCCAGCCTTATCTAATTTAATTGTAGATTGTATAACTTACAGAAAGGAGGACCTTGATCCGGAAAACCCTACTTGGGTAGGGTGCTGGTGGCTGGGATTTCTGATTGGTGGACTGCTTTGTTATCTCTTCTCCGTGCCCTTATTGGGACTACCAAGTGAAATGGCAGGTTTGGTTTATAGTAAAATCTAATATTAATAAGGTACTGAATATGACATAAAATATATATTATATACAAACGACTTCATTCTAACAATTTTGGGTCAAATGTCGTTGCCCAACAAACTCTGCCGTCATTTCTTTTTGTCACAATAATCTTCTTCTTGGAGTGTATTACTGCCATTTCTTCGTATATTCATTTTATCTATCTCTTTCCCGGTCGACCTCATTCCTTGCTTCCCCATGGTACATGCTTACTTATCCTTTTATCCGTCGTTCAATATTCTTCTAACGTGCCCAAACCAACTCAGTTTTTTCGTCTTTATGTAGTATAGGATGTCAAGAGATTCTTTAACTTCTTCCCTAATGGAGTTATGTGGGACGCGTTTTAGTCTAGATTTGGTATAACTAAGTCTCCAAAAATCCATTTCCATTGACACAACATTTATTGCTGAGTCTGTTGAAATAGTCCAGGCATATAACACAATACTTCAAACAAATGAATGGTAGAGTTCCTTTTCGCTTTTGACGTTCATATAACAGGATTAAAGTCCGTATAACCTTTTTACCTGTGATCATCTTTTCATCAATATATTTTTTTTAGTATTTACCCCTTTCAAAAACCACCTGCCTAAATATTCAAATTGCTCAGTTTGGGTCAGATTCTATTCCACAATATTATTGATAAAATTAAGATTTAAATTTTTTTATAAGTTGAGTAAAAGTAAGTATATGATCTATACATGACCTGTATAAATTATACTGCTAAATTTGGCCTCCTCCTCTTATTTACTATTCTACCAATTTATAATCTACTTAGGCTACTAGTTATAGTGATTCCTTTGTAATTTAAAGACATTCACTCCCTTTTTTGTAAATAGGATTGATAAGATTATCTGTCCATTCTCTCGGAATTGTTCATTGTTTTATGGAAAGTGACATGAGCTTGGCCAATTTCTTTTGAGTTCAAAGGATCCATATTTGGTTAGCTCTCTGGGTATGTTTCCTGTTTCGGCAAATTTTCCATTTTTCATGTTCTTTAATGAACGAATGAATTAGATATTCATCAACTTTTTAGAGAGTATGTCAGCTTCTTTTGTATAATCTTGCGCAATTATATAAGTATACCTCCTGCATAAACTCTGTATAGTCTGGTGAGAATTCTTTCTCTATGCTATAGTAACCCACAACGGAAACGTCCTAAGAGTAAATGCCGATCTATTCTTTCGACATATCGTACACTTATGCTTTACATACTTCCTTGCGCACGCATACTCAGAATGATCCCTTCCCTAATGTGAAGCATTTGCCAATTTTATTTTTATGTACTATATTATACTTCACGTGCTTGGATGATAATTAGATTTCAATTTATTGTGTATAGAAATGAAACGGAATAACTCTTTGTACACGAGAGGAAATGGAATTAAATTCGAGAAAATCAGCGAGATGCCAGTAGTCTTTATTCGCCTCTTCAAGAACTTTAAATTCCTCTTCTTGACTCTGGCTGCATGCTGTGAGGGCATCATCTTTTCCGGAATGGCTGCTTTCATGACTAAACTTTTACTACAACAGTTTGGCTTAGGGCCAAAAAAACAGGCTATATATAAAGGTAAGTGATCGTTATGGAGGAAATACAACGTGTATTCATCACCTCAGTTGAAAACTGCATTAGGGTGTTAAAGATTCTTAAGATTCACTAGTTTTATTATCAGTTTACAACACCGTACGTTTTAGATTGTCTTTAAAACTCCTAACAAAACAAAAATATCATGCAAGGCTCACTTCGATCTCTCATGTACGCCGAGAACACACAAACTAACTCTTGTTGAATTTTTGAAGGTATCTGAAGTTACTGTAACTAACTAAATGGCACTGCTTATTTCAACTAGCAAATTTAGCTGTAACTAAAAGGCAGCAGAATTAGTAGGGTTAAATTACCCATATATTTAACAGGGCAACCAATATAAACAGAGAAATCTAAACAAGTAGAGCTCAAGTCGGTCTTGTCCTTGCGACAACACACCTATTCATGGTCTTGTTATGGGGCAATCAGTCTTGGTCTTGATCTCGATCTTGCAATTAGAATCTCGTAAGGCTAGTAATTACCTATCAGCCTATTTCGCTATTTATTGAACACGTTAGATTAGATCTTGGAACAACACAACAAAGTAAGTAAATTTTGAGATTTTATTGATATAGACATAGTAAAGTCAAAAGAAACACATACAATTAACTTGACAATATTTATTTCCCCTACACCTGTTGATTTCATTTTTTTAAATCATGAGTCTTCTACAGCAGCTGGGGGCTGTTATAGGCAAGAGTAGTGATCGTTTTGTTCTCTCTTCTTCGAGATATCCAGGGAATACGTGGTTTATTTACCGGACGCGATCACATTTCACTCCCTCTTCATGAAGAACTTTCCTGCAGGATGGTTGGCAATATTTTGCTTCAATCGTCCACCATGTCTTTTTTGGATTAGGGGATCATCAGTCATATGACTCCCAACCGGGAGCAGTAGGAGCTATGGTTTAAGACACAGAGATCGTTTTAAAATTGTCCTGTTGAATATTTTGCCTCATTTGCCTGTATTTAGCTTTCTTCGGTCCTTGAAAATGTTTACCTGTTGTACGTGTATTATCATTTGGAGAGCTAAGACCAAATAAACGAATAAACAAGATAAAAAAAACCGATGTTAATATATAATTCAAGATTAAACTCTTAAAGCATCGTACTATACCTCAAAATATAATTTCAATACGAAAGCATTTAGTATTTTGACGACCTATACCAGATAGATAAGATTAGACCGATTAGACCTATACTATGTACTAACAACATACTATGTTCTTACATAGAATCGTAGTTTTGATAAATTTATGGGGAAACGTTAACCAATATCGATTTTGGATCCAAACACTCAATAACGCCAAATCTCGGTTTAAGTTAAATGTGAAACGCAAGGTCTCAAAAGTCAGTCTTGTTCTTGCTCAAATCTTGTAGAGTAAGTCTTGCTACAATTAGGTAGTATTGGTCTTGGTCTGGGTTAAGCGAAAATCCAAGAATAAGATCAAGATTGAAAGAGCAAGACCGTATTTGGGCAAAACTATTATTTACTGACCTGCACGATACCTAAAAAAAATCTTTATAACTTGTAACTTTTACAGATAGAGGGAATAAATTACCTTATTGACATACTTGAATAATTTAAAATTATGCATAGAATTTTCAAATAATTCTTCCCACAAATTTTGTTATGTTTTAGTAGGTGTTCTCAAATCTGTTGCAGCTACTCTGGCTATACCCAGCTCTCTTATCGGAATATTAGGAGGTGGTTGGGCCATCAAGTACTTTGGCATGAATCTTCAACAGATGTTGGTCATGATTGTCTGCCTAGTTTCGCTCAGCTTCCCTTGCATCGGCGCAATGTTCATCTACTGCGATAACAATGATCTTGTGGGGCTTTCTGAATCTGACAAGTAATTGACAACAATAGGTTAATAAATATTCATCAATTCAAAGGAGTCTATTCCGTATGATCATTACATCATAATCCTCAAATAAATTTTGTTTAATTCAGTCATTGAAAAATAATCAATAAACCTTTTATTAAGCAAGCCATACAAAGTAATACAAGTTACGATTTTATTTCGATACATTAATTAACTAATGTCACATGATGAGACATATAACCATATATTAAAAAATTTAAAAAAAATACAAACCAAAAGGTCTGTGTATGCATCAGAAATCTAATTTGCATGCTATTATATACATTTTATTTTTAACCATAAGTAACATATATTACGATTGCCACATCTCAATACCTTGAAAAAATTAAAAACCGAAATAAACTGATTTTTTTTTTAAATTTTATAAAATTAAAATATTTCTAATAAAAATATATTATCAATTTTTATAGTAGATACAAAGATAAATTTAGAATATTTTAAAGAATTTGGATTGTATTTCTGAACATACGTGAGGCCAAAAGAATGACCAGAAAAGAAAGTTCAAAAACTGTATTTTCCAATAAAGTTGTTATAGACTTTTGAAGCATAGCTGTCGATTTTAAGATTTATAGTAAGGGCAAGTTTCTAAACTCATCGCTGAGTTCATCGATGGCATCTTGAATCCATCCGACCGTTTCTAAACTCATCATGGAAAATAAGCGCATGTCTTTATTCACCGATGACTCATTGGTTCCTCTAGATGTAACCTTATTTATTATAATCCTCAGAGTCGTTACTTATCAACTTAATTTACATATTTATATTCAGTTTACTTTCTAATCATATTTATTTATATTTCTAAATTTACCAAAGCAGTATACAGGAATTTACTAATTTTGTGATTTTTAATTTCCACGTGTTTTGTTACCTTAATAAAGTCTTAACTTTCTGCTTGAATCCAACAGATCGTTTTTTAACTCAGCTCAAATCGCTGTCCATTGCTGCTGGATTCTATCGACTGATGGATTCAATCTATGAAGTTAGCATTGAGTTTATAAACTTACCCTGTGTTAGAATAAGGATATATTCAAATATAATTTAATATTTAATGTTTTAAAAGTAATATGATAGAAAAAATCAAGCTTCAATCCGAATGTAACAAAGATTGTGATTGTGATGATACATTTTTCTTTCCTGTCTGTGGACATGACAATCTGACCTACTTCTCAGCTTGTCACGCAGGATGCTCAAGGAAAGAAGTAAAAGACAGTATTGATGTAAGTATCTGTACATGCTTAAATGTTTAAATAGTACATGTAAATAATAATTAATAAATCCAGCATTATTTTTCGGACAACCCAATATTTTAATTTAGATTAATTAGATATTTTTAAATGATTATATTTATCAATAATACAAATTAAAAAAACTTTACTCATACCCTCACATTCAAGTATAATTACTAATAAATAATTAAAAATAATGAAACTTTATATCATTAAGAAAACGAAGAAAAACATTATTTTTAGATGTTCTATGACTGTAAATGCATCTTGAACAAACCAAGCAGCGGACCAGAGGCTGTGGAAGGATTCTGCATGGACAACTGTCCCAGTTTGGTCTTCTTTATAATGCTGGTATTCACATACCAGACATTGTCATTCTTCTGCGTCATCCCCACTATCACAGCAACTCTAAGGTAAATAGGATAAAAAATTACAGATGTTTTACTAAAAGCCATCTTTCAAACAAGTTAATAAACCATTCCTTGGAAAGGGTCGTCCATGGCGATGTGAGGTCCCTCGCAATCGCCTTACAGTGGGTGATGGGCAGGCTGCTGGGTACCATACCTGGACCTCTGCTCTTCGGCAAAGCTATAGATGAATCCTGCGGCTACTGGCAACGGAACTCCGACGGTAGTCTTGGCAACTGTCTTCATTATGACCATCTTACCTTAAGCAGGCAAGTAGAATTGTTTCTATTTTACTTTCAGATATTATGTTTACTTGATTTTATAATAATTTTTAACAATCTAAGTATCAATTTCTTCTCCTTTAGGAATTTGGCATGCTTGATGTTCTTCAGTAAAGGACTTCAGATAACATTTTTTGCAATAGCCCTCAAACTAGCGATAAAAACACAGCGTGAAAGAATGGCTGAGGATCCAGGCTTAGTTCGAAGCACAATTTGGTGACCCCTCTCATTGAATCAATGACAATTGTTTTATTTTTGCTATCCTGTCTTTTCATTATAATTAATAAGTTATGTATTAATATCACTTATACTGATTATATCATTATCATGGAGACTATTTTTTAAGTAATGAAATAATTCTTACAACATGGTTATGCATAGACACTGGCATTCACGAAATATTGGAGGGCGAAGGTTAATGTAATATAACATTGTCCAATGCATGAGATGGGAGGGAGCAACCAATAAACGAACGCCGTACATAAAGGAGCTCAGTTTATTATCTGTATTATAATATATAATATTATATTATTTCTCAAAGGTGATTTGCTTGTTGCCACGCCATATTTTCGTTAATTCTTCATTTTCGTGTTTAAGCCATCATTTTGAAGATGATTTTTTTTTTCTTCATGTAATAACAATTAGAGCCCATCGCCCAAACAAGTAAAAAAAAAAAGTTATTAAAAAAAGGAAGTTTTTCTTTATTTCTACCTATTCCGGAGCCTCAAGAGTTTTCTGAGCCCGAGCCGCCACCTATTTTCATATCTAAAATCGATAACTTCGTTACATTTGGTCAAGAAATTGCCGGTCTGATTGGACAGACCAATTTCCGCTGTTTCTCCAGAGTTAATGATATCAAAATAAACACAAACTCTCGAGAAAATTACAAAACTCTTATAAATTATTTTACGTCCAAAAACTATGATTTCCATTGTTACCAATTAAGACAAGAAAAGCCATACCGAGTGGTGTTGAGAGGACTACACTCAAGCACCCCAATATCTTTCATCAAAAGTGGCCTAGAAGAAATAGGTCACAATGTTAGGCACATATCATGCGTACTACACCCAACGGAAAAATATCCTTTACCACTATTTTTCGTCGATTTAGAGCCAGCCAGCAATAACATCGAAATTTTTCAAGTGAAGAGGCTTATATATTCCACCATTAAATTTGAAGAGCCTAGACAAAAGCCTATAATAGTGCAATGCACTAAGTGCCAAGACTTGGGGCATACAAAGACTTATTGCCATCACCAGGCCAGGTGCGTGAAATGTGCCGGCCCACACGCATCAGACACTTGTCAGAGACCTCGAGACCTGCCTGCGAAATGTGCCCTTTGTGGTGAAGAACATCCAGCAAGCTACAAAGGATGCAAAGTTTATAAACATTTTTATAAGCAGAGAACTCAGATCATAGCCTCGAAAAGCGTAAAACTGACCCAAGAAAGTTTTACCCATCTACCTGAAATTGATAATCCATCAGATTTTCCAGAATTGCCAAAAACGACTACTCAAAATACACAGCTAGCGTCTACTTCAAAAGAAATTGATCAACCTCAGCAGGACTTCAACCTCAGCAGAAAAACACCAATCACTACGAAGAAGCAGCAGCCTCGAATTCAGGCGCCTCAAATCTCCCAATGCAAACCTCAACCTCACAATCCCCAATCTCATCCTCCACGTCAGCAAACTCTCCCTCATCATATACCCTTACGAGTCAAATTACCGCCGCAGCATCCTCAACAGTCCCATCCTAACGCCCAGAAAAGAAGTGCAGCACAGGTACCTTCCAATCTAGACCCACCTCGTGCACAACGACGGATCCCGCCCTCAGCTAATATTCCTAATCCACCACAAGAACCTATCCTGAATCCAATTCACAATCAACATCCATCTGATATAACCTCCATTCTTTCATCCTTCCTATTGGACCTCCAAAATACCATAAAACCACTTATCACTCTTCTCACCAGAATCCTGACCGAAATTCCATTCAATTTCCCACGATGAGCACAAAGCCCCTAACTATCCTTTTATGGAATGCTAACGGACTAAATAACCACCGTGACGAACTTGACTTATTTCTTCATAATAATAACATTGACATTGCTTTACTGACTGAAACTCACTTCACTAAACGAATACATTTCTACATACGTGACTACTTCACTTATAGAACTGATCACCCAGATAATACCTCCCATGCCGGTTCTTGCATCCTTATACATAAATCATTACCCCATTCCCTTATTCCTTCAACTCCAACTGATGACATTCAATCAACTTCTGTAGTCCTTTCAACTCGCCCTTTCCATCTCACATTCTCAGCTGTATACTGTCCTCCTGGTAATTCCCTCTCCTATAACCTCCTTGATACCTTATTCCAATCCCTCGGATCGCGCTTTATTGCTGGAGGAGACTACAATGCTAAACACCAACGATGGGGTTGTCGAACATCCAACCCCCGCGGTAACATCCTATCACGTGTTTCAACTTCCAACAATTATTCAATCCTTTCGCCCATGAGTCCTACTTATTGGCCAACATCCCTCAAAAAACGTCCCGATATCCTAGATATATTTATAACTTCCCAGATCTCCTCCTCACAAACCATAATCAAATCCCTTGATGACCTTTCTTCAGACCATAGTCCAGTTCTGCTTTCACTACATTCGAGCTATGCTCCTAAACCATCAACTCCTAAATTGATTACAGGACGAGTAAACTGGGACGAATTTCGTGATGATTTGGAAAACAAACTAGACTTAAAAATTCCGCTAAAGACAAAAGACGACATTAATGGTGCCATTGAAAAACTGACAGCGTCAATAACAGACAGTATAAATAATAATACTTTTATCAATAAGTTTAACAATTCACAAAAGACTGACTTGCCACAGCATATTCGTATCTTATTGAAGGAAAAACGCAGAGCAAGATCGAAGTGGCATAGAACCAGATATCCAACAGATAAAACTCATTATACCCAACTGACTAACAAACTAAAATCTGAAATTAAAAAATACAAAATTCAAAACTTACTAAATTTTACTGAAAAACTTACACCTACCGACAAATCACTATGGACAACCACTAAAAGGCTCCTGAAATTTAAAGACTGTAATCATCCGCTTCTTACTGAAGCTCAAACCTGGTCCAAATCCGATGAAGAAAAATCACAAATCTTTGCTCGTCACCTCTTTAAAACCTTTAATCCACACCCCGATATTCTTAACCCAAATCACCTTGAATGTATTGAAGCAGAACTGGATATCCCACTCCAAATGTCTCTTCCACCTAAAGCCTTTCATCCTTCAGAAATATCCGACATCATTCAAAGGTTACCTTCCCGAAAAGCTCCTGGACACGACCTAATTACATCCCAGATCCTAAAACTCCTTCCTCGGAAAGCCATTCTATTCCTTACTTATATATATAATGCTGTACTGCGATCAACATACTTTCCTGACCCTTGGAAATTCTCTATTATCAAAATGATACATAAACCCAAAAAGCCACCAGAAAATCCATCCTCTTATCGCCCTATCTCCCTTTTACCCATCCTAGGCAAAATCCTGGAAAAGCTCATCCTAAAACGCCTGTACCCCATCCTAGATTCTAATCACATTATCCCAGATCATCAATTTGGATTCCGCAGATCCCATTCCACTATCCAGCAATGCCATCGTGTGGTGGATGTTGTCTCCTCTGCATTGGAGCGCGGAATGTACTGCACGGGAGTCTTTCTCGATGTAGAACAGGCTTTTGATCGAGTCTGGCACCCAGGACTGCTTTACAAACTCCGTAAATTCTTACACCCTACATACTTCCTCATTATCCGTTCCTATCTTACTGATAGATCCTTCAAAGTAAATCATAATAATGCCTATTCATCCCTTTTTTCCCAGTCCGCTGGTGTTCCTCAAGGTAGTATCCTAGGTCCTATCCTTTACACAGTTTATACAGCTGATATCCCAACCCATCCTAACACAGTCATTACCACGTACGCCGATGATACATGTGTCCTATCAGTTAATAACGACCCAACAATTGCATCCCAAACCCTTCAATCACACATCACAAACCTTGAAGAATGGTGTCAAAACTGGAGAATAAAAATAAATTCCAATAAATCCCATCAAATCACCTTTACCCTTCGTCGTAAACCTATGTCCTCTTGTCCTACAGTATCCTTTAATAATACCCCACTTATTCCTGTTGAACAAATTCGATACCTTGGACTCCACTTAGACAAACGTCTAACTTGGAATCCTCATACCAGACTGAAACGACAAGAAACAGCTCGACGTTTCCGACTACTCCAGCACTTACTAGATAAACGCTCTAACCTCCCAGTCAATTACAAAAGACTCATATACATGACTACAATAAGACCTATTTGGACTTACGGAGTTGAGCTCTGGGGCTCCACTAAGCCATCGAATTCCTCTCGTATTCAATCCTTACAATCCAAAATCCTTCGTAAAATCCTCACTGCTCCTTACTTTGTCACAAACAAAATCATCCATAACGACCTTAATGTTCCTTATGTTTCTGACTTGGCCCAATCCAGATACCTATCCTTCCATAACAAACTTCAGAACCATCCAAACCCTCTTGTTTCTAACCTTGCTTCCTCTTCGATCCCTGACAACCCTCAGAGGCGTCTGAAAAGAAGATGGCCTCGAGATCTCCTTTTGTAAATACATTTTTAGAGTGCTACCAATGGGTAGTTTCTCAACATGTGATGTCATGCTATTTTATTCCTTTGTTCACATTTACTGAATGTATTTTTACTTGTAATACAGTTGTAAATATCACCAATAAAAAAAAAAAAAAAAAAAAATTTCTACCTTATTAAGGCACAGAATCTAATAGTTTCTGGCACAGATCGCTGGAGCAGTTTTCCAAGGTTTGGGGTAACATTGAATTTTTAAAAAAATGGAGCTATGAATGTTTTTGTTAACGGATGAAGAAAAAAATCCTCCGAGAAAATCAAATACGAAAATATATATTTCTATAAAAAGTTAAGAGTTTTAAAAACGAATCTAAATTGATTTTTCAAGTCTACAATATACATGGCTTATTTTACTGAAGGTGTCTAATCTAATAGTAAATGTACTTAATTACAAATAGAATTTTTTGAAAAGCAAAGTGGGGAAAAATAGATTAATTGAAATTATATAAAATATTTTTCCTCACAATTCTACATAATACT